TATAATTATGCTTTGTGAGGATTTGGAATTGTGATTTACATTGAGTAGAATAGGGAAATTAAATACCCACTCTATAACACACAACTAACCCACGAAGCCTATAATAGAGGAACAGCTTAACGACTAATGACACCACTAATGACAATGATAAATTAAACTAAAGTAGTATCCTTATCATGCCCCTGCAAGATGGTGGAGGGTACGACATCGATCTTGGAACGAAGAAGCTGGAAGCGAGTGATGGGCAGTGGCTTGGTGAGAGAGTCCGCCAATTGATGAGCAGTTGGGATGTGGTGAATATGAAGAGCTGCAACTTAGACAAGGTACCGAACAAAAAGATAGTCAAGTGCCACTTGTTTCATCTGAGAGTGATGGATGAGAGTGCCGACGAAGTTGACAACACCAAGGTTGTCACAGTGGAGCACCGGTGGAGACGAGATGGGATGATGAAGCTCATGAAGAAGATTTTGGACCCAAAGAAGCTCGGATGTAGCATGAGGGCTAGCTAGGTACTCGGCCTACGTACTTGACCGGGCAACTGAACGCTGCTTCTTAGACTTTCACGAAATAAGATTGTCGTCGTAGTAGACGAGAAAAGCCATTGTGGAGGAGTGATTGACAGGGTCTCCAGCCCAGTCGGAATCGGCAAAGACAATAAGTTCAGAAGACAACGACGCGGCTAGTTGTAGACCAAAAGTAGGAGTGCCTTTGAGATAACGAAGGAGGCTCTTAACATGTTGTTAGTGGAGAGCAGTGGGGGCATGCATAAACTGGGACAGTTTGTTGAGCCAGACAGCAGACGACGAGCGAGAAGCAGACAGATCGAGCCAAATTGGAGCAGCCGAGAATGGTAACTCATAGACATCTCCCTTCTTCTGGCCTCGAAGCAGGAGTGCCCCCGTGGGCCGTGGCTAGATCCTTTACAACAACAAAAAACAGAGAAAAAATTCACAGAAACTGGATTAGTCTTACACAATTGAGCAACAGAGAGAAGTCGACATTTGATAGCCGAAACACATAACACATTGCGGAGATGCAAACGGGACAAGGAGGAAGACAAATGTGAAATGCCAATATGAGTAATTTGCATACCTGACCCGTCGTCGATAAGAATCTCATTCGGGCCATTATAATCCTTATAGAGAGATAAGTTGTCGAAGTCGGGAGTCATGTGGTTGGATGCAGCCAAATCAATGAGCCAACCAGTAGAGATCGGCGGAGCAACGAAGCTGTGATGAGCCCAGGGACGACCACCAATGTGATAGCATTCTTTTGCGGAGTGGCCAGGACGATCACAAAATTCGCACAAGACTTGCGAATGGCCTAGGAGAGAAGGAGCAAAAGAATTGCCGGAGTAACCAAACGAAGAGTGTGAGGGAGAATAGCCACTATTGAAGCAAGGGCAGCCATGTCGAGCAGGAGAATAGTCGTGATGACCACCAAAGGGACGACAGGACTGAGCCGACGAGCTTTGGAGACCACAAGTGAAGGAGAAGGCAGTAGTGGGAGCTTGGGGCTGATGCAGACGAACCGTCGCAAGATCAGCCTTGAAGTCGACGAGGCGGTCATGGAGATCTTCGAAGCGGATGGTGGTGTCCCTCGCACGGATAGCAGCTGCAATTTGGCCATATTCATCAGGCAGGCCACGGAGATCGTATATAATGAGGTCTTCATCCCTAATAGGATCATTGATAAGGTCCAATTCGACGGCAGTGGTGCGCATGGCCTGCAGATAAACAACAACGATACGATTGCCAAGAGTCTCACGAACAAGTTTTTCTTTGAGATGAATGATGTGTTGACGGGATTGACTGGCAAACATACGCTCCAAAACCGTCCAGGCTTCATGAGAGGAGGCAGATGATGACACATAGGGGGCAACAACAGGAGACATAGAGGCAAGAAGGGCATGGAGGAGAAGCTGATCTTGCCTGTATCAATGAGTGCGCTCAGCGGCAGAAGCAGAGCCGACCGAGGCTAGATGTGTGCCATTGAGAAAATGTAGAAGATCGAGGTCACGAAGAAGAGTGAGGAGTTGCACCCTCCAGGTTGGAAAATGATCACTGTTAAGCTTGGTGGGTAGCTGAGAGGCCGGATTGAGTGTGACAATGGTGTTGGTGTCATTGAGATTAATCACTGTCTCGCCAGACATGATGTTGCCGTGAAGAAGAAGCCTTGGAGAAGGTTTTGCGTCAAAAAAGCAGAATTAGGCAATAGAAAGAGAAAGAGAAAGGTTTATGATTGACGTAGAATGTCGTCGTAGGAGAAGCAACAGATCAAATAGATGAGTATGGGAATTTGGTCGAGAAAAAGAAGGAAAATAGATTTTAGTGGTTAAGGAGATCTAAGCCTAACTCTAATACCATGTGAAGATTTGGAATTGTGATTTACATTGAATAGAATAGGGGAATTAAATATCCACTCTAAAACACACAACTAACCCACGTAGCCTATAATACAGGAACAACTTAATCACTAATGACACACTATTGACAATAATAAATTGAACAAAAATAGTATCCTTATCATGCTTTGTATCGAAGTTCATCTCTCATAGCCATGAAGCAAACGACCCTTTAATGTCATTTACTCGTTGTACATGTAGCAATTTTATGATTAATTCTCATAGTGTGTATCTTCATAACAATAAACTGCAAAATGTGTTACCCAATATTAATGAGCGTGTTAGAATGTCTCAACCAAATGATATACGTTGGATCGTGTTTGTCAAATGTTTACCTAAAGTTTAATTTTTTCTGAAAATATCATTGAAAAATTACGTTTTGGTACCTAAAATTTTTATTATGACATTTTAGTATCCAAACTTTTCACATTTTACATATTAGTCCAAGATTTATGATGTCATTTGATCCATATATGATGTATCCACCAATCCATAAATCAAATCCATTTGCCACCTCTATCTAAAAGTTAAGTACATTTCCAGGTATCTCACAATAACTATAAAAGGATGTTCTCCTTCACAACCCCTTCATTCCAATTTGCCTTGATTCTGCGCAGTCCTCGGCAGGGTCTTTTGGACTTTTAGTATAATGGATTTACTACGTGATTTGAGTATATTTAATACCAAACCTTAGTAATTATAATTGTACTGAAAATCTAATCCCCTTCCTTTCAGGTTTTCTTCCGTCCAACTTCCAAGCTAGCTCTAGGTATTCTAATTAAGTAATTATTATTATAACCATATATTACACTCCATGGAAGCAACAACCAGGAGCAAGTAACCACAAATTTAAATAAACCAAAGTCTTAAGAGTATATACTAATTATTAGCCAAATATATTAAATTACTAATAATTAGCTAAATTTTGGCAATGCATCAAATATTATTCATTTTTACGTTATCGTTAATAATTGTGTAACTCTTTTCTTAGTTAAGATACTAAATTTTTTGGAATTTTGACATCCACGTGTCTCTTCCAAGTTCCAAATCAATATCATGTTGCCAAATCAATATTACTAACAAACTTGCTAACTGGAAGATAACATTTGACTAATTATTAGCAATTCAATAAATTTGGCTAATAAAATAGAATTTGAGAAATGTTTGGCTAATAATTAGTGTTCTATTGTGTTGTAGACAAGACAAAATGAACGTTCAAGAGAACATATGAAAACGTAAAATTCAATAAATTCATATCATCTATGTACATCGTGGCAATACCAACTTACATGTATAGCTTTTGATTTTTCAATTGCATGATCTACTAAAGTTCTAAGCTTTAGTTCAAGTATAGAAAAATGTGTTTTGAAGACAACTTTATGAAAAAGAACCATTACTCAATTCAACAAGATTCTTGCTAAGTTATCGATGTTATGTTCATCAGAGCCATTTTATTTTTCTATGTCTCTAAACCTCAAGTTACATAAACATTCATACTTTATTAGTTTAGTAGTACTTGAGTTGTTAATGTTCATTTATTGGTGATTAGTCAGCATTGCCAGTGAAAAAACTATTCTCTTTACTTAAAGCTACTTAAAAAAAAGGTAAATTAGAGCTACCTTCATATAACCTAAATTTGATATTCATGATTGAATTTCACTCAAGGTGCATTATTAAATGAAGGAATGGAGTATTTACCAAAAAAAGAATGTAGTTGAAGTTCATATTAAGTTTAGTGATAACTTATCATAACATCACAAATTTCATAACCGAATTAATAGTTTTGAAGATTATAAATGATGGCAAAAAATAATCTCCAACAACATTTGTGATTAGGATGAGGTAAACAAACATTTGTGATTAGGATGAGGTAAGTTGTTTTGCCATGAAAATGATATCTCATATATGATTGTGTTTTATTTTTTGAATTTGCTTCACAAAAAATGTGAAAAAAATGCATGTTGATAATGAAGAAAGTGAAGTTGATGATGGATATTTTTTATTGTAAAGAGGTACTGATATTGGTCATTTTGAAATATATATAATATTGTGTCATTAAGTTTATAATGGGTTGATATACCTTTGCATAAGTCATATCTTTTTAATTCCAACAAGAATGTGCATAGAAAGCATCAATGACAACATTAAGGGCATGTTTGGAAGTTAGGATTCTCTAAATCAATGTATTTAATCAATGTATGTATTATAATTAGATGCATTGTTTCAATGTATGAATTTGAAAAATACATTGTTTGGAGAGTGAATGATTTTGGTGGTCCCTCAAAGAATAAGGAACAAAAAGTAAGACAACAATCCCTTAAACACAATCTCTATTTAAAGTTGAGATTGACAATCATTCATAATGAATGATTCTGGTGGGCCCATTTGCTGTTCAAATACAAGCATTCTGTTTCATTTTAAACCAAAAAAACGATGAATTCTTCTAATTACATGTATTTGTTAAATACATCATCTAAAATCCAAACTTCCAAACGAGCCCTAAGTTTATGATGGATGCTAATTTTATATTTTCTAAACAATTTAAATTTAAAGTTTTGTTAATTATTGTTATCGTATGGTAGCCGGCCTGAACTCGATAGTTCAGTATTAGTTCAGTATTATTAACCTTGAAACGATACTCATCATTATGCTAAGAGAAGGAAAACCAGTCTCGTCCTGAACTCGACCGTCCCGTGTATAAAATAGAACAAAAATAATAATGTGCTCATACAAATACCACCAGCGGAACATCAATTTGAACAACCAAAGAAAGGAACAGAAAGAAAATTTGCTCTGTAAATAAATATACATTCCCGTCTCTCAAGGGTAAGAGTATCTCAGGTTTCTACCGCTATACGTATACCAAAACCCAGGGCCATAGAGTAGCAGGCAGCATCAAACTGTGGTACATGCCTTTCGACGCTGAACTCCGGTACATGCCTGTATCAGTAACTCTCTACTATCAGTTGTCTTCTCCCTGCATGCCAATGTCAAAAGGGTGGCCATGAAGCTAGTCAGTTACTTGCAATACAATCCACACCAGAATGAACAAACGACCATTGGAAGCTAGGCAGATATTCAGTCACTGTCTAAGTTCCAAGTTCACCCTATATGAGGTTACGCAATTGGTCAACATACATTAGCTATAGACCGACTTTCATGGTTACGCAATTGGTCCTCTTTAATTCTCACAAACTCTTCCACAAAGGCATGCAGTCATGCTTGGTTGTGAAGTTAAAAGGTTTGCACATTCCCAAATGCATATGACGCACTACTAAAACTTTGAGAAAGCTGAAAGTTCCAGTTCAAGAGAGAAACTTGGACAGATTAAAACATAAAAACTACCTCCAACTATAGACGAGAAATGATGCAGGTCGAGATGTGCTAGGTGATGGAGCCATAACTTAACAATACCTGTGGTGATAAGGAGAAGAATGACTCACCAGCAGTACGTAGGACTACATAAGCAATTGAACAAGTAGGGAATTCAACTTGAACAAAGAAAGATATTAAAATGCACCATATTGTAATTCAAAAGCAACAGGCATCCCTAATCATGACTACCTACTGGTTAAGGGGGGAAAATACCGTATATACTATATCGTGTGGTTAATAACTTTAATATGATTTAATTATCACTTTAGCAGTGATGGCACTTACACAGGTAAGCAAGGCATCCACAACGATTGTTTACGTCCTAGCCTCCTAGGGGTTGGTATTTACTTTTTGATCTATGACGGTAGATATGTAATAATTCAGTCTGATAAAGCAAAGCAATTCGGAAACTGGTAGTAACAAAATGACTAACCTTCATACTTGGGGTAGAAGTGCAATCTCAATCTCTTGCAGTGATTTGCCTTTGGTTTCGAGGACATTCTTTTTCACAAAGATTACAGCAAGCATACAAAAAGTGGAGAAAACTGTATACAATACAAGAGGACCAATTTGCTCCAGTAACCGCAAAAACAAGAGCCCAACAAAGAAATTTACAACCTGTGTGCACACCAAACAGTAATCAGTGGATCCTATTATGCATCCCAATTTCATCATAGAAAAGAATACCGGCAGAAATCAATTACCCAATGGACGGCCATACAAACTGCCATCGCCTTGGCTCTAATCCGACTTGGCAATATTTCTGATAGGAGGAGACTAGGAACTGGACCAGCACCAAGGGCAAATGTTAAGACAACCCTGCAGAACAGATTCAGTTAGAAAGATATGGCCAGAGAGCAGAGTGACGCTCTTGGAAGGCACTGACTCATTAGATCCTCTTTCACAATTGTTGATTACACTGTGTTTTTGCAATCTGACCAAGTATTATTAAGTATGGGAAGTAAAGTAGGTGAAATATCAGTAGTCAGTACTGGCTAAGATTATTCAGTACTAACATGAAGGAGCATCAGCACATAGATTAAACATATAGCAATGTCTTTTGAAAACCAAAGTCAAGAGAGATTACTTACAACAAGATGCCTCCAACAGAAAGATACACTGACTGGGAGCTTGACACAAGCGAACTCGCTCCGATAGCTTGGATGCACATTGATACTGCCTGTAAAGAAGTACGGAAATATGCTATATGAATCACAGCTGACATATATTCTACTGCTATAACACACAAGAAAAACTAAAAGATGAGCAACTAGGCTCATTTCATATAACAAAGATTTTCGGGCTAGCAGATAAGCTGTATCCCCCCAAAATTTTCTTCATATGTTGCTGCCACTCTTCTGGCAGAAAACAAAATTTCCTTTATTGGAACAGTGCAACAAGTTTTCAAGTCAGAAGCATTTTTTCGTTCTTACCATACCGAAGAAACTGCCCATGAGAAGCACCCTTCTCCCTAATCTATCCATCAAAATCATGGCAACTACGGAGCCTGGAAAATGTGAGTGAATTGAAGTTAATAAAACACTCAACGTAGAGCAAAGCAAAGATAAACGTGGGGTAGAAATGCTTTCTTTACCAAACAAGTTGCAGAGTCCTACACACGTGTTGGCAAAGTCTGATGGTACACCAGCACTTTTAAAGACAGTTGATGAGAAATAAAACACAGCATTTATCCCTGATAGCTGTTGTAAGGCAAAAAGGGTAGACCCAATGAAAACCACTGCAAATCGAGGGAATCGGGTGTAATTATTTGGAAGCAAACTGAAGCCTGAACATTAAGTAAAACATATGTAATCTGGGACCTTTAAAATGGCGGCCATAAAGCAACTCTGTGAACTTGACTTTCTCCACTTCATCTCTCCCGTCCGACTTCGATAATTCTGCCATTGCAGATTTGACATGCAACGCTCCTAAAAGTCTCTCAAACTCAACTTCAGCTTCACCACTTCGTCCGCTCTGAAGTAGTTTAAGAAGATAACTAATTAATATAATCAATCAGATGAGCACATAAACTATGCTTACAAGATACGGCAACACCTCTCATAACCCATAATTTAATAGGCATGGACTTCCTTCTCTTGTTATATACGCTCCATATCTGAAAACACTGACCACACCCTGTTTCTCCCTCCGTAAAAATGATTCATAATCTTGTTTCAACTATAACTTTTATGTCCAATTTCGAGTAACTGTTATCTAGAGATTTTTATTTTTGGAGAAACAACTGTTATCTAGAGATAAACAGATAACACTTGTTAACATGATAGACAATGAACTGAGACCATGAGCAGGTACCTTTAAAAGCCAGTAAGGGCTCTCTGCACAAAACTCCATCAAAATAGCAAGTAATGCAGCAGGAATGGCAGACACCCAAAAGCAAATGCGCCACCTGAACAAATTATCAACAAATACATCGAGTCATACTATCATCATATCCCGCAATATTGAAAGTGCATTGAAGTTTCAGTTTAGTAGGCATCATTCAGCTTTCCTTACCAACCCATAGTCGTCTTGGCTGGCATTCCAATATAAAGAGACCCCATCAGTCCAAAACATGTTGCAATTTGTGTCAAGCTTCCATAGGTACCCCTTACATAAGCTGGGGAAACCTGCTCAAAGACAAGTCACAATATGTCATTGTACTTCGATAACTGAAGAGTGAAAGAGCCTTCAGTAGGTATGGTGGAGTTTCAATTTGCAATACCTCTGCCACATAAAGAGCTGCTACAGGTGGGCCAAGACCCATTCCAGTTCCAACAAGTAACCTTCCAAGAAGCATGCCCCATAGGTTTTTCGTTGTGGCACTGCAAGAAAACGTTTGGGGATTTGCTTAAGGTAATGGTCACACATACTGAGGAGTCGTCAGAGCTACTAAATCTACATGGAATGCAACAAAGAAGAATCTGAGCCACCAAGCATTCACCTCACTGAAGCCCCAACTATCATAGGCAATGCACAAAGTTGAAACGCCCTGCGGCGGCCTACACCATCCGCAACCCAACCACTGAAGAGTGATCCAAAAAAGGCACCACCTAAGCATGTACTCACCACAAGGCCTTCATTTTGAGGCACAAGTATAATAATTAGAACGATTTCAACAAAAACAAGAGAACCGAGTGATGGGAAATTCATTGTCCAAAGTTTGACAGTACCTTCCGCCATCGTATTCCCACTAAACCCGAGATCACGGGATATGCTTTCAAGCGTCTCATTCACTACTCTGCATTGCATCCAGAATTAACAACAGTATGTCAGGCGCTTCTTACAAAGAATATACAGGATTAAGTTCCGGAGAAGCAAAATTACCCAAGATGGTAACCAAACAAGAGTGAAGAAATAGTTGCCACCAGTATATGCACCAGAGATCGCCTCCATGGAGGGTTTCCAATGTCTTTGCTAATCTCAATCGAATCTGCAGTCCAAAAATGGCAAATCAGCTCAGTTCGCTTATCGCTTCAGAATATACCACTGCTGCATTAACTAATAGAGAGAGAAAGCAACTTGCACAATCATCAGTAATTAATCCAATTTCTGACTTCATGGCATCTACACATGACTATTACGAAATTGGGAAAAGATTAAAGAAAAAACACGACGTTATGAGTTACATTAACACCTTTTCTCACTCGAGGAATCTGCAATTTCATCACACGATATAAAACAGGACAGGGCGTCACCGACGGCAGAAAAGGAGAAGTAAAAAGCAGAGAGAATGAAAACCTGGAGGAGCTTCTTCTCTATCATCCACGAAATCCTTGGAGGAAAGTCGCTTGTAAGCATAGTAGGCGTTCTCCAGATGACGCCCTCTCATGGCGGAGGTACTAAAAACTCTTCCCCTAAACCTCGCTACGATCTGAGCCTTCTCCGGCAAACTGCGGAAATACAACGGCGACGATTACTTGGATTTAGATCCGGATGGCAAACCAAAGCGAACTCAAGGATTCAATCAGATCCGGACGAGGTACTGAATAAGCAAATGCAGGAGCGCTGAGCTTCAACTCACCGACTCTCGTTCTAAATCAACAGGAGGAAAATGGAGAAAGAGAATTCAACGATCGAATGGCAATCGAGAAAAATATATATATACATAAACAAAGGAGAGAAACGAGGAAACGAAACTAGCAATACCTGTATAGAAGAAAGCGATCTGATGAAGGAGAAGGAAAGCGAAGCAGAGAGAGGCGAGAGAAATAATTCTTGACCGGACGTTCGATGGTGACGGCGAAGCAGAAAGAAGAGGGAAAATGTGAAATGTGCGGTGGGAGAGGAGAGAGATGGCTGGTGTCACTTCCCAATGGAGAGAGTGACAGCGCTGGCGATCGGACGACGAGCAGAGTCGGTGCGAGCTGCTAATGTGGGTTGGGTGAATATCCGCTGGCTTCCAGTTTGATTCGTTCGTCCGTCCGTCCGTCCGACTGTGCTGGTTGTTTCAGTTAGAATCTTTCCGAAATTATCTTTTTCAGTTGCAGAGAGGAGGAAGAAGAAGTAAAAAGGAGGAGAAGGGAAGGAGGGGACACGTGTCCAGTGCACGGAGTTGATGGCGGGGACTCTGCTAGATCTGGTGTTTGGTTGCCGCTCTTCGAGGACAAAAAGTTATTTTTAAAATTAAAATATATTAATTTAAGAAAAAGGTACCTTTTTGAAATTCCGCACAGGGATTCTTGTATGGACACGTCTAAAGCCCCGAACAGTTTTGCTTAGAAACGCATGAAACCCCGTTGTCGCGACTCGCGAGAGTGACGTACAACCAAACTAATCAATTGGGCTAAATTGCAAGTTTGGTCACTCAAATTGCTACAAAATTTCACGTTTGGTCACTCGAATTCGTTTATTCCATTCGTAGTCACTTAAATTAGTTAAACAGTCCAAGTTCGGTCACTCTCCGTTAACCTCCGTCAGACTCCGTTAGTGCCGTCAGTTAACTGCTGACGTGGCTAACAGAGATGCCTAGTCACCCAATTTTAACCTAAGAAAAAACAGAAATTGACCCGCCACGTCAGAAAAACATGGCACCTCATATAAACACAACCCAACCCACCCAACCTAAAAAAACATTAACCCACCCAAAAATCGAACCCGTGACCCATCCACCCTTCTTTTTCCTCTATACCCTACTTCCGCCGCCGGGAGATTTCCCCTCGATCTCCCTCCCTGCTGCACTAAACCTCCTGAAAATTGCACAAAGAAACCATCTAACTAATTAAAAGGAGAAAAACTAATCCACAGGAAGGACATAATATCTCATCAGGGAGGCAGAGAGACCAAAGATCAAACCAAAATCGTCTCAAGGAAACTGGATTTCTAAATTGCTGGGATTCGATGATCTTTGACCGCAAATCCAATATGGGCATCTCGACCAAAAAAAGATCATATAAGCAATTGTGAGGAAAACAACAAACAGCCCTATCTAAGAAGAGGAAACAAACCCAAAAGAGAACATAACCTGCAACACAAAATTCACACGAAACTTGTAGATCTGTAAAGTTGTGTGTTACTTCCTCCAATCTTCCCCGGAGCAAGGGAACAGACAAGCCACGAGATTTTGTCTATTTTCCAAGTATTTTCGACAGCAAACTCACGGTCGGTATCTGGTTGAGAAATAAATCCAAAAGCACTCATGATGATGAAAAAGATACAACAAATAGATCTAAGATTGGAAGCCACAAAGACGTCGATGGCGATTCCGGGACCATGGCGAAGAACCGGCTTTTTTGGTCCCTCCTTCTCACTTTCTTCTTCCTCGCGAATCTGGATCCGGCGGCGGGGCTGCAGCAGGGAGATCGAGGGGAAATCCCCCCGGCGACGGCGGAAGCAGGGTATAGAGGAAGAAGAAGAAGGGTGGATGGGTCATGGGTTTGATTTCTGGGTGGGTTAATGGTTTTTTTAGGTTGGGTTGTGTTTATATGAGGTGGCATGTTTTTCTGACGTGGCGGGCCAATTTTTGTTTTTTTTTTTTGGTTAAAATTGGGTGACTAGGCATCTCTGGTAGTCACGTCAGCAGTTAACTGACGGCACTAACGGAGTCTGACGGAGGTTAACGGAGAGTGACCGAACTTGGACTGTTTAACTAATTTAAGTGACTACGAATGAAATAAACGAATTCGAGTGACCAAACGTGAAATTTTGTAGCAATTCGAGTGACCAAACTTGCAGTTTAGCCTAATCAATTGTCTAACTTTTTTAGTCATTGGGTTTTCTTCTTGATAATAAACTGATCATTAGAGACTCTTATGTTAGGCATGAATATCATTTGAGCTTCACTCGGGTCGTTTGCTTCATGGATTTGAAATATGAGGGTTTTGGTAAAACCTGGGTTTTGAAAAACCATGGATATATGATGAATTTGGTGGCATCATGGATTTGAACAAGTCTATTGTTTGCTTGTTGGATTTGATAATGGATTTTATTTGATTAGATTTGTGGATATGAAACACAAATTACCTTGTTACCCTTATATAATTATATTTCCATTATAAACAAATCTAATGCATACAAAGTAACTGAACTTCTACTTTGTGAACTCGTTCAATTACAAATATAGAAATGCATAATAGTTTGGACATGACACAACTCCCTAATTTTTGGATCCAACTGTCGATCCAGCAATAATGCATAAGATGAGCGTAATGTGTTAGGAATATCAACAGAGGAGTAAATAGAAGACTCAGTAGATGAAGATGTGAAATTCAACCACAATTGAAAATTTCTTGAGTTTTCGATCAAACTCGATCACCACGCTTAATCCAAAATTCTATCCCGAAATTCACAATTTATGCGAGAAATTAATGTTAAACAAGCCCAAAAAAAAGATAGAGACAAGGAGAAACAAACATGAGAGTCCCTTTATCATTCATTGCTCTATATGAAAAACTAAGAACGGAGAGTTGGAGGCTGCCACTGGGGAAGAAGGAAGGGTAGATTAGTCATTAGGGAAAATAAGTAGGGATAAACTAGTAAAATGTCATCATGGATTTAAATCCATCACCCAATTCCCACCTCCATAGGTGGAACTTCCAAGTCCGTGGGGTCCACGGATTTGGACCTCCAAACTCCGTGGGCCCCACGGATTTACTCCCTCCAATTCCATCAAACAAACAATAGACTTTTGTCAAAGTCCATGATAAATGCAAGTCCATCACCAAATCCATCAACAAAACCTTGAAGCAAACGACACTAAGTCTTAACTTAGCTTCACATGGGAGTAAATATCTCATAATTTTTTTAATTTGATTTAAAAGTTTCTTTTTTTAAAGAGGAATTCAGTTTTTTCACCACAAAACATATATTAATCTTACTTTTTTTTAAATGACATTCACTTTTATATATTTTAAAACAAAACGATTTGAGACATATATATCGATATGTACCATGGTTGTAATGTGTGGTAGTACATAAGATTGATTATATTATGATGGTATATAAGTATATCATTATAGCATGAATATAATGTATTGTAGAATGATTATATACGTGATAATATGAATATACTAATCATCATGTATCATCTTTCACCATCATTTATTGTATTTCACCACCGTCAACCACCAATTACCATCATGTACCAAGGTAATATAGAGAGGTATATTTGATCCTAAATATTTTTCCATACATTTATAAATCACAGTAGATCACGATGAACTCGTTCATTCTGTGTAAATTGTGTATAAATTTTGAGTTAAAAACAAAGTGGTAATAAGTAGCAATGGCTGATAAAAAAATACTCAAAATATGTCGAAACTTAATATTATTTTGTAGATAATAAAAAATCATTCAATCTGTGAAAAAAAAAAATCCTAGTTAAAACAAAGAAGGTACTAATCGGTAAAAAAAGTATGAAAAATAAAAAAATAATAATTTTATTCCTTAGATTTGAGTCCACTTAACATCGAGTATCCAATCTAACTATTCATAAATGCATAACCAAGGTCATGCATCCTAGCCTAGAAAATGCACACGGTTGCATGCCCACCTCTTTCATGTAGGGATGACAATCAAACCCGCAACCATAGGAACCTGATCGTCTCAACTAGTCAATGGGGTGAATTTCCATTAGACTATGCATGAGTAAAATTCGCAAAAAATTTATAAGTATGGACGGTTTTGATTTTTGACTCTCCCACCCCATACTCTCCCTGCCCAAACAAGAATATTTCTTTGTATATTAAAAATATATGGATCAATATTCTAACTTGTCAATGACGGGAAGGATAATTAAAAAGAATAAAAAGTTGAAATGTAATTAAGTGTCCACCCAAACTAGACACTGATCTCTTCTCTGAATGCGCCCTTCGCTATTTCACTTATTTATTGAAAAGGAGGCCTGAGGCTTACGAATTAAGGAAAAGCTTACATGAGCTAATCACTGGGACAGTTGCCTACATAAATTGTAGTCCAGCTATAACCATCTAAAATCAAGCCAAAGACATCAAACATAGTATAGCAAAACAAAGGGGTCATCTCACGTTCAGGGGTATCGTCCAAGAGAAGCTTATCCCAAAACAATGTCCTCCTTAATGATCTTCTTCCAACTTGTTTGGTAGATATGTTATTTCATACGTAACAAAGAGATAGACGAGATTGTGTTTCGAAATCTAGTCGGCGCCTCTATTCCATTCATAATATGTATGAACTAACCACACCACCCAATTTTGAGCCATTGGTCTTCGAATTGCATCCAGAATTGTCGTGTGGGGATGAATTGTGTCTTCACGCTCGTTAGTAGCTTTACCATTTTTTACGTTAAAAGTTGTACCTTTGTGCTAGATATTCGCAGTCTGAACAAAACTACGCCATGCGAAAGAATTTCCCTTGCCTTGACGAGTGTATCCAGTCCCCTTCTACTCCTTCCATAATTGCTCCTCATAATATTTTTCCATTGTGATTGTTTTTGAGTCCTCAATTTCCAGGATCCTTTGGTTAACACATCTTGATTGACAGGCTTAGTAGGCTGAATCCTCATCCCACCATGATTGCGAGGCTTCATAAGTGGGTTCCAGGCCACATGATGGATTTTTTTACCATCTTCTCCCCCCCCCCCCCCCCCCCCCCCCTTCCCCACACACACACAAACTGGCTATTTAACCTGTTAATAGTATTCCAAATAGCCGAGGGTAATAATTTGGTAAAACATTGGGTAAATGGCCATAGAAGAGGATATAAACTTAACCAGGGTTATTCGAGCTTCCAGAAAGGTGTCGTGATTTCTAGTTTGCTAATTTTGGTTGAACTCTCAAGATTAACTCTTTTTATTAGCCTTTAGTGATCCTTTAGTTGATTACTTTCAGCCCTAAGTATGTCCTTAGGTCAGCTGTGAGGAGACTAATGCCAGCTCTGGAACTAAGTCGTTGAGCTTTGTCTAGAGCTAGCACAAAATTCTTCAATGCTAGATGGTATGACATCAATCTGGCCACCCTATGCCTCCACAAAAAGAACGAAGTTGTCAGGAAAAAAAGATGACAAAGCTTCAACCCATCCTTTGATAGAGGGATCAGTTTCCAAAGTCTCTCATCTACAGTTTGTTCAATTAACATCTTTCCTTACATAGAACAAATAAAAGGAAGATAAATGATCTCCCTAATGAACTTCTTTGGATAGTGTAAAAGTGGTTATAAAATCACCATTCCAGTTTAGTCTCACCTTGCTCTTCTCTACACAACTTATACTTCTGTCGATCGAAGTGAAGCCTATCGTAACCAAATCTCCTTAAATGCGTCTCGAACAAAGTCCCAACGAAGCCTATCGTAAGCTTTCTCTAAATCTATCTTGATAATAATGTCCCATCTCTTTCCGTTTTTTGTTTTTGTTAATTCTGGATGTTTAAAATTGTTTAGTAATATTGTTGAATTTACAAGTTATCATATTTTTATTTTCATAATTTAATTTAATTATAATTTTGAGTAAAAAATGATGTGGCATTGACATGGCGCCTATGTAGATGTCACATGCTTTGCCACGTCAGCAGAAGTCAACAAAAGTTTGACCTCCGTCTGGTCAATCGTTATCTTTAACGGTCAACGAAAACGGGAGGACATAAATGAAAAAAAAATGAACATATGAAATGACATAAATAGAATATTGAAAAGAAATAGGACACAAGTGGCACTTTTGTCGTAGTTCGGGTGTTGTAGTGGTATTAGCCCGTCTTTATTTGACAAAACCACTCTGAGTTGGGGACACCAACATCAGCATCAATGGCTTCAGCCTGTTAGCTATGGATTTGGTGACAGATTTAAGCGCCACATTGTTTAGACATATCGGTCTGAACTGAGTTGGAGTCTCCGGATGATCGACTTTGGGAATAAGCACGACTAATGACTTTATTGTCTCTTATGGAATGTCACCGATAAAGAATCAAGTAGCCATGAGCACAAGATTCTTACCCACCACCAAACAGAATTCCTGAAAGAAGAAAGCTTGAAAACCATCTAGGCTAGGGGCTTAGTAAGGCTTTATATCAAATATAGCTTTGTGGTAGTTTGATATGTGGAAAAGCCAAAATAGTTGCATTAAGTCTTCTTGTTGTAGCCTTGTGAACCTATTCTTTGGCACAAGATATTCATATATGGCTTCATCTTCAGTGTTAAGAGACTAGTATAAATCGAGAACCATGTTGCTGAGGCCTTACTTGTCTTCAATCTGGTTGCCATTGCCATCACAAAGAGTAAGGACCATATCTCTTCTACTATGACAGGTAGCTCGTTGATGAAAATATGATGTGTCATGTTCATCCAATCCACCCAGTTTTCTATGGTCATTTGAAACCATATGGCTTCTTCATGTGCCAGAATCGTATCCAATTTCTTTTCCAGTTTGATTTGGAGTTTTAGGAGGGTCGGGATAAAGGAATTCATCAATCTCCTTGATTCCTTTGAGCCTAGCTAGGATTCGCTTCTTTCTTCTGCTTGTTGAACCAAAGGCATCCTTCTTCCAAGCCTAGAGGTTGAGGGTGATGTCCTTGAAGGAAGATTGGATTGTGGTCTCTTTATTCCAGCTGTCTGTAGGGAACATTTTGAATTGCGGATGAAGGATCCAAGAACCCTCAAATCTGAAGGACCTTGGGTAGTTGTTAGTAGCATAAAAGCCAGCGGTGGATGTGAGAATGAGCAGGGGATCCGACTGGAATTTGGAAAGATGATGCACTACTGTATTGGGAAAGATAACATTCCAGTCTAAGTTGCAGATGGACCTGTCTATTTTGTTGGCTGTATGAGTTCCGATTGATTGCCTCTAAACCACGTGAAGCGAGAGCCTGGGAAACTAAGGTCCTTATGCGCTTCATTCATCCAATTTAAGAACTTATGACAACGAGAGAGATTCCTCAAGGAGGCGAAGCCATATTTCCCTCCGGAAGACAATAAGCAATGAATTCTCCTGTAACCAACCATGGAAGATTAGCATTTTGACTGGTGAGGATGAGGTGCTTCCTTAGAAGGGAATGCTATTTATAATGGAGGTTGACGTACACACCAGTTAAAAGCCAGTCTTAGTGAACTGGCCTGGACACCTTCACTGGAATATGCTATTTGTTGGCATTAGCCAATTTCGCCATAAAATTATCGTATTTCAGGCAAGCAAGATCCACCTTGAGCGACCCTTGACATCCACCCTAATAATCTCATCAAAGCCCAATTTACCACAAATAGTGTCTACTCGATCGCCAATAATCTAAGATTCCAAGATAATCAAGAAGTTGCGTCCATAGAACTTGATTAATCGCCTTTCTTTTTTTTTTAATTATCCAAAGCCTTTTTTTTGTTCAGAGTTTTTTGCTCTATCTTTTCTTTTGTGTCAGTAGAAGCTTTCCCAGCCGTCGCCTCTGGGTTACCTTTTGTGTTTACAAAATCATGTCCGGACTCTTGCCGATTGCCCGTTGAGTAGCCTTGATTTTGGGACGGAAGAATGGGAAGTTTTCCATTTAGACATTGTTATTTCCGGGTGATTTGCATCCATATCCCGTAACCAGGGGAGGCTCCAGCATCTCTGTTTCTGGCAATTGGTTCTCTATGATGATGCAATCAGATCAGATTCTAGAGTTTTTTCGTGGGAAAATCATCTTCAATTGGCCAATTCAGCCACATTCATAACATATGGTGATTAGATTTTCATAGAGAACCTATTGCCAGAAAGCATCAAGTTAGATGCGAGTTGGGAAAGGTTTCGTCATGTCAGGTTCCTCGGCATGACAAGCAAATTTTCCTTGTTTGAGATTATTCATTTGGCAGTCTAACTTCATAGTCTTGCCAATGAGATTTTCCAGAGCAAACATGACCTCTCTGTGGTAGAAATGAGCCGACAGTTCTAGGATCTGAATCCAAGCCACGACAGATCGATGGTGCTTATCTTATGTACACGATGATGGGTACCATTGGCGAACCACCAAATAGTGATCTGGAATGACCAGTGACCTCTTGTTACTTGTTAGGGCTCGGAGATAATCTTGATCAGCTTTATAGGTAACCAAGAATGTGTAGTTGTTGAGATCCATAATCTTCAGAGACCCCATTGGTCGCAATTTCCTTATGAATTGAGAACAAAGGTAGGAGTATGAGACTGAGCGGCCTAGAAGTATCACCATTAGCGTTATCTTCCATGGTTGACATAGACATTCCTTGGATTTGGTTGAAACTTTGAGTTCTGGTGCCTCCCTGTAAGGAGACAGATTCTAGATCATGTGCGCCTACAAAATTCCATTGCTTCATCCTATCCGGACTATCTTAAGTGGTACCAGTGAGGGACACCCTGAAGTTTAGCGGTTGTTGTGTCAACTTGAGCGTCGATGGATCATCTTGTGGGAGTGGATCAGGATCTTATATGTCCGGCAGAATAGCGGAGTGTGTTGGGCCCGTCACTAGAGGTGGACCAACAACGGTTGCCATGAAGATCATTTTCTTAGCAACTAGTTGAGTTGGCGAGTCAATTAACTAGGTTTGTTGACTCGAGACATCAAATCTTCATTATTTCACTTCTTTCTCCTTTGTTAACAGGATTATATTAGTTATTTTCAGTAGTGGATGCATTGGAGACTAATGATTTGTATAGCATTGTACTTTGTCTTTGCATATTTTAGAATTGGGTGTTTTGAATTCGTATTTAAAATGGTTGTTTCTTTATGATTTATTAGATCCGTTTAGTCTTATAGTTGAAAATATACATTTTGAGTTCTATGGATAGTAAATATTGAATATACAAGGCCAGTTCACACAGGAGCATCCAAAAATCGCGAATATGAAGATGGGACTGCAAAACCTCTCTTCACATGGGTACGATGTAGATACGAGTTTCTAATATTTAGAAATGGAGATGAGATAGTTCAGCATAATCGGCCCCAAACCAACTCATTGTCGTACCTACTTTCATGCCAAACCTTTATCACTAATATGAAAATGTAATTTTTGTGGTGTAGAATATGTCGTCGACAATAATGTGAAAGAAACCTTCGGACGGGGGCTCCGAATATTTGTACAATACTTCTAGGGGTCGTTTGGATCTAGATTTCTGGACAGGGATTTGGGCCAAAACCCGGACCGTCCCGAATTTTAACAAATTATGTTGTTTGGGTCTGTGCCCAATAACACGAGATTTGGTTCATGCGGGTTTTGGAAATCCGGCCCATCCCGGAATTGGAAATAACTGGCCTCCCCCCAGGTATTTTGAAATCCGGCCCAACTTTTATTGTATGCCGATCGAGTCCTTGCCTATTCTCTTCCAACTCTCGATCTGATTCTGCCTTGCCCTTCTCTTATTCCCACTCTTCCCTCCGCTCCTCCTTCTCTTCCGTCCTTTTTTCTTCGGCCTCCTCAACCTCGCCAGACTCGGCCTCGCCAAAGTTTCTTCCGTCATCAATGAATCTGGAAAGAAACGAGGTTTTCGTCAAAGAAGGCTCGGATCTGTAAAGAAACAAGCGGTGAGCGAGGTGGGAGCTCAGATTTTGGGTTTGGGTGTTCTCATTCGTCGATTTGATTCTGGGTTTTGGGTTCTTATTCGTCGATTTGGGATTGAAGGGTTCTAGGATTGGATTTCTTCCTCGTCGCACTTGGTGCTCTGCGTCTCGAAGGTTATGGGATTTAGTTCCATCAGGCAGCAAGAGCTTCTCGAATGGTTATGCTTCAAAATTCGCCGAAATCGCATCAACTTCAAGGAACCAATCGCTGGCAAAGCTCGACGACCCTAGACCTGTTTGGGATGCTGGTTGCCGCCGTCGATTACATGGCCGGCGATTTCAACAAAGGGAGGAAGAAGGCGAGTGCAACATAGAAGGGGTTAGGGATTATGTTGGGTCTGTTAGTAAAATAAGGAAAAGGACAAAACTGTAATTTTATAATTGTAACTAAAATTTAAATTCTTTGATGACAATTCTGGGCAGTTAAACAAACAAGTATTTTATTTAAATCCTGCGTTTTAATTCTCTGGGTTTTTAATTTAGGGATTTAGATTCAAATCCTTCAATATTCCAATCCCATATCCAAACGACCTCCTAGGCTCATCTATCAGATGACTAAGCCTGGAAGTTGAGAATCGGAAACTCGGTCTGCAGCAGTCTACCAATAGCAAAGTCGTTGTCACCACCAGATCATGTGATCCATTCCAACTGGAGACGTAGAACGAAGTGGTGAGAATGTGAGATACATGGGCTATGTGAAAGCATCTGTAAAACACCAACTACAAAAACACCTAAACGTTACAAAAACCAACATACAGAAAACGTTCATGCCTGCATTGAGGACTTCTGCCCTCCAGCTAAACTCTGTCCATCCGTAACTATCATTCCAAATTCAAATACGTCCTCCAGGGAAAGAAAACATTTTCAATCTCCACGAAGGAGCAAACTTCTCAACATTCGCTCCCTGCTGCTGTACAACACCATCGATCTAAGTTACAACACTTCAAAGAAGAAGAGCGCTCCCGGACAATCGAGATATTAATGATCATGCATATCATCTTAATGCTGGAAACTAGATCCTTTAATGATCCAAGCGAGGCAAGCACAAAAGGAATGGAGAAAAGATAAAACAATCGAACCATAAAAAAAAAAACAATAGTAATGATACTCTACTCTGCAAACTTCCTCCGTTGCAGTTTTTCACTTGAGCCGGACATCATGACCGCGAATTCACTTGTTGTATCTGTTAAGAAAACATGAACAGCTTTCTTTTAGAGAGAAAGGAGACGAGTTCACGCAATATAATTTACAATGGCAGCCGAGGAATTCATTACTTACCTTATTAACAAGTAGGTTTACTTGCTCTCTGTACATTTCTTTCAAGTCCACAATATCAGCACGCAGTTCCTCCAGCTACAAACAATGAATAGATTAAGAAATTCTCAACCACTTCCATATGTTAAATGAGTGTAACTAGAAGACTATGGAGAGAATTCAGGAGTCATATATCGCCTAACTGTTTGTTACCAAGAAACTGAAACCCAAAGATTGCATTGGATATCGAACTTGCAGACCGAGAAAATGATAAGCATTTACATCTACACGTCAAGACAAGAACTAGCACATACCTCTTCATCACGTTCACCCATTAACTCCAAAGCAGCTGAGTGTCTCCGCCGGAGTGCATCCAGCTCTGCTCTTATTCCAGGTAACAGAGCAGAATCAGCTCTCAACTTCTCACACTGCAAATCCGAACATTATTAACCTCAGTGATATGGAACAAGATAGGTATGAAATAAACCACCAGCTCAGGAAATGCTTGCAGCAAATTCAAACTTTACCTGCTCCGTCATTTTAACCAACTCCTCTGCAAGAGAGTCCCGAATTGATTCCAACGATGCCTGAAGAACATCCATCGTATTAATAGAGGGATGCCTTTGCATCAAGGAAACCAAATAGCCAATTCCCAAGAAGGAAAACACATAGAGGGACAGAACAAGGATATTTGTTGCAGCTAAAACAATATATACGCTAAGGGTGGCTACTTCGGTGCACTCACTTTTTTGGGTGCACCAACTCTAAAAGCGTCCATAATACATCAAATTTTGAACTTTAATTAGTACTCTCAATATAATATGATGATATGCATAGAATCATAACAAATCAATCCATTACCCTAACCCCTTAACCTTCAATTTTGAATCCCAACCCAAAATCCCAAATTGTAAACCTAAACCCTAACCCTAAATCCTTCGAATTAAAGTAAATTTTGAATGAATTTTTTTCAAATTCATGTGCTTCTTGTTCATAATATCATAAGCAACAATTGATACCGTTTTGACATGAGTCGCATGGTCAGAATGACAATTATGAGGCGGGTGCACTGAGTGCACCCGAAAAAGTGGGTGCACCGAATACGGCTCCGCACCATACGCTAAGATATATATACATAATGGTCTTTTCTAATATAACCATTCATTTCTTTATTATTTAACGCAACATTGACCATGCAACGAATAACTTATCACGTAAACTACATATCGTATCATATCATCTCTACTTTCTCCAGAACCGCACCAGTTAAACACACTTATTCTTTTTTCTTTTGATTTTTTTTGACGAACATTCTTTCCTTTTTTACTATAACATAAAATTATGTACTTATTAGCGAAAACAGAAACAAACACAGATCTAGAACACATAAGCAATGCAGATAATTTACACACTCTTGGACGAGATTCTTGGCAACCAATGAATGCAGAGAGCAATGGAGTTGAGATAGATTAATGCATACCAAGCGAGACATGTAGGAAGCAAGTTCACCCTCTTTCTGGCGAAGAGCAGACTCAAACGCGCTAGGTGTCATGCTCTTCATATAATAGGGGCTCACTGTTGGCTCTCCAGAATTTCTTCTATCGCTAAAACTGTCTGATGCATCCAAAGTTGCTTGTAGAAAATAGCTTTCCTCCACGCTGCTCAAACTGCCAGCACTTGAGAGCTTCCGGGTCAATCGACCTGCATAATAACCAATATATATCAATACATCACCAAACAAAAGAAGCATACAGGGTCACGACTCACGACTAGTAAATCTCCTTGACAAAGTGCCATACCATTTTCAATGGCTGATTGGGTCCTTGCTATTGGAGTATGGTCAGCTGCAGAAGCAGAATGGAGACGGCTTGTCCGTTCTAAATCTAACCGAGCAGCTTTCTCCCTTTCAACTTCCTGTAATAGATCAAAATGAATCATTTCCTAGGGGAAGACATCTTATAAGTCTGATCTTTAAGATTGGCTTTTTAGATGGATTTTCACCATCACCCATATTATCAGTATCCAATGAAATGATAATCATGAAATTCAAACCAGTTAATGCAATAAAATAATGGATGTGTTAGTTTCAGCACTGAGAAACAAGTATTGATTCATAAAACAATGACAAGTCACTATTTAAAGGTTTAGTAAAAGTGGGAAAACAACAAATTATATTTGATTTTACGCCTACTGAATCCAGTGGCATAATTCAATCACAAAAATGGCAAATGTTCCATGAGAACCAGAAATGTGAAGGCAATTATATTGCTAAATCGGAATGCAAACTGAAAGTACTAAGAGTGGAACCTGCTGCAATCTCTCCTTCTGTACAAGTGCTTCTTGTAACTCGTGCTTATGTTTTCGTCTAATCTCCTTAATTTCTTCTTCCAATTGGTTAGCACGACCTTCATGAGTGTCAGCTTCCTCCTTGGCCGCAAGATACTCTTGCCTATTTTCAGCTGCCCTCTGCCTCTCCTTTTCAATCGACCTGCTTAGCTGTGTCTGTTCTGCTCTAAGACAAGAAATCTGAAACAAAGGACTCCTATCAGACAGTTAATCAAGAACACTGCAAACGAGTGATTACTATGTTAACACAAGTACCTGAGCTTCAAGAACATTTATCCGTGATAGGGTCTGAGACAAGCGCTCATTCACGGATCTTTCCCTTTCCTCGGCTTCTGCAGCTTTAGACTCCGCTTCCTGAAAGAAGTACCAACATCAGTTGAAAATCATTACATGGTGGCAAATTCGCTCATATTTCAGTTTTAGAAATACAGGAAGAACCTGAAGACGAGAACTGAGAGACCTCTCCACAGCATTCCAGGCTTCAGCCCTTCTGGACATTGTTTCCTACAGGCAATAAAAGAAAGATTTATTCACAAACACATATATAAATAGTAGTTTCAAAAGCAGCCCAATTACTAAAGAGAGAAAACCAAACTGCAAATCCACCTGCATGGCCTCAATCTGCCTCAGAAGAGGCCTTGTAGATTCAGGAACTTGTGAAACTAACTCCTCACACCGGCGTTCACTTGCCTGTTCATGAGATAATGATGCAGGTAATAAAGTCAGCCAGCAGACGCCAAAAAGTCGAGGGAAAAAAATATTTGAAGTGGAATTCATAGGTAGAAGAATCCAATGAACTGGGAACACACTTGATAACGTTTTTGCATATCATCAATCTCCCTTCGATGCATGTCTTCAATGAAAACAGCCTACAAGAGATACAAAAAAATTTATGACTGGAAGAATTGAGCACAAAGGGGCTCTCTAAAGGATATTCAATTATTTCATTCCAAAAGCCCCAAACCTGCTGTTCCTTTCTACTCAAGGTTTGTCTCAACTCTTCAAGTGCCTGAACTAGCATAGACTCACGTTCTTCTGCCTCTCTTAGCCGTCCCTCTAATTCAATTCTGGCTTCATTGTTGGCACGTGCCTCAGCCAATGACTCAGCCTCTTTTGCAGCAGTCAAAGCATTCGTATAGTACTCTTTCTGTGCAGTGAGTTCTGCTTGGTGCTTTTCAATCGTTTCTTGCAGCAATTTCTCAGTCTCGGCCTTGTCCTTCTTCATACTCTCTGCCTTATTCTCCTCCACCTGGAAATAGAAAGAAAATCGCTTGAGATTAAACATAGTTGGCAGATGGCAGAGAACAGCAGTAGAATTATTTTGGTGTCATTGCTGGTCACCATTCAGAGGTGCAAAATCAGATAGTGGTGCTCCATATGGACCAGTTTTTTAAGAGTGAGAAGCAAATAAGAAGTAAGAAATTACTTCTCTTTATTATTGGCAACAACAAATGACAGTAAGGCTATTCTGTCCAGACAACTTCAAAACGATCATGAAGCATTGGATGGCACCATGAAGTACCTGAAGTTTGGTTGTTAAACCTTTCTTTTCCTCCTCAAGCTCTCTGATCTAAGCTCAACGGACAAGCAAGAAAAACAGTATGCAGATCAGAATTATTGCCATCCATATGGGTATTACAAATGAAGTTCCTCAAATCGGCAGTCCCGATTAGATACCTGAGCCCTTAATTTCCTCATAGTAGATTCCTGGACAGCTTGCTTTTTCGAAAGTTCTTCACCTGGAGTTACGACAGCACACATGAAGTACATAGAAACTATGAGCCACATGCCTATACGCAGCAACGGGCAGGTGTATGCCAAATTGAACAATCATTCCTTGGAAAACAGGCTACTCCCTTTCTTTTTTTTGGTGGAAAAATAACAGGCCACTTTCAAAGCATAAAAGCGAGTATCCAATTGTAATCAATGATCATTTCTTCGAAGAAAATGATGAATATAAATGATCCCCCAGATCTTACAATTTGAGACTCGAAAAAGCCATTTCTTGACTTGAAGGAAAGTAATCATGGAAACAAAAACACTCATGATCTCAGGAACACAAAAGCCTTTATGTCGTACCTTCAGCCATAACCTGATTAATAATTTCATCTTTCTCCTTTAGAAGAGCGGCTGCATCACTTTTTTTATTCTGTTCTCTTCGCAGTGTGTCCCTCTCCTTTGTCAGGGAATATACCTGCAACCAACTTGCAGTTGAAAGAAGAATGAGCACGAGAGAAGACCAGCCCCTGCATCATTGACAGATACAGCCACATGACTAGTCATCTGGATCTAGCATGATTTCTGGATAATGTGTAACCATCCTTAAACAACTGAGCTTGAAAGTACCATCTCGACATCATATCTTGGTAGGTTAGATGTCACAACTCCAAATCAATAATTACATATCATCTTCTATTACAAGACCATAAACAAGACACAAAAGGCTTAGACTGGAAGTTTTGGGTGCTTCAAAATTGAAGACAACGTACCTTTCTTTCAAGAGTTGCGACTCTTTGATGATATTCCTCTCTTAAAGATTCAACCTCAGCATCATTTGACTTTCTCTGTTTGAAAATTGGCAATGGAGTGTCATGGACAAAGAGCAAGAAGTGTTGATAACTGATTGTCATACTATTAAGTAGAGGCCAAGGGACAAGAGGCAAGAAAAGGAAGAAGCGATTAGCTTTCAGAAGTTTTAGAATAGGGTTTATACCCAGTAGTAATAAAAGAACAATGGACCAACAAATGTCACAAGAGTGAAAATACATGACCCGCAAATGTTTCATTGCAGCTTAGCAAAAGTTATGGACATCACAAGATAATGTGCTTCCATGCAAAAATGTCCATAGAAGGAAGCTATCCTTCAATTTCAGTTAGAAATTCAGATATCAGATGATAATAGGCACTTTCACTTCTTTCAAAAGCTGAATAAAATCAAGGTTTCCCGCGAACGCACTTGTGAAAATCAATGGCCATGATTGAGAAAAGGCCCGGGTGCATGGCTTTCATCAAAGCTCATGCAATACAATTTAACAAGCCCTTTTACATTCCATTTTAGAGTTATGACCATAACAGAGAAATAGAAGAACAACTAACAATACACTGATATCGGAAGACAACATAAATGCTGATTTCAATATACAGTACCAGAAGATCCTCTATGGAACAGCAATTTAGAAATAAAGACCCCTTTTTCCTCTTTTCTCCACCCAAAGGACAATGATGATGGAGAATGGAGATACAAAGTATAGGGCCTCCCATCAATATGCTTAGAAAATCTCACTCTGCCGCTTGACCTCAGGGATCAAACATGATTTCATAGAGAATATTTCGTTTAAAGTAAGTCAATAATGGAACAAAATGAGTTGCTGTATGCAATATATATAGCTTTGAAGGTAAAAAGAGGAAGTTCACTACATACCTTCAAATCCTCAATCAAAGCTTTCAGGTGTTCATTCTCAGTCATCAATTTCGCAATGCCATCTGCTTTTGCCTGGAAAAAAGAACGTTAAATCCAAAAGAAGCACACAAATTCTTAGCAAAAGGGATTGCGAGGAGGTGACTCGTTCCAATGTAAAGGAAAATAGAAAAAAGTTTCAATACATAATTTAAAACTATATCCAACAGCAAAAAAGTTAACAATCCTACACTGCACAGTACAACTTTGCCAACTGAGTTTCCCATACACTAGTAACATGTCATGTTTCAAACTGGTAAAAGGAAGATAAGGCCCCATCATTATTCAGACGTCTTAATTTTTCACCACCACAATATGTTTTGCAGCATTCAGATCTAGAAGTAAATATTTCATATCGACATCATCCATCTTGATTAACTCAAAATCCACTGAGGCTAGATTTTCATTTGCAAGCATTTTGGAGAAGAACCGTAGGCTTGGGCATGTAGGCATAAGAATAAGAACATGAAATGGAGACTTCATCAAATAATTCAAGGCTAAATTCAACGCCACTCTCAGACAGGTGAATCGCTGATCAATGGATGTGGCCAGCAAAACGATTATAATTTTTTTTTAGCTAAACAGTTATGTGATACAATGAAAACCTTCACTCAAGATAAACATGAAGTACCACATTGACATTCCAGCTTAATCATGGAATTTATAACAAGGAATACCTGGGATTGCCTTGCGGCACCTTGCAATGCAGCTTCCATCATTTGCATCTCCTTCTTCAACTTTTCTAGTTCAGAATGCATAATATCAGGTGAGCCTGATTCAGCACCCAAGCTTTTCACTTCACTGTCAACCTTGGCATCATTTACATGTTTTATGGGGCCAACTTCCATAACATGAACGACATCTTCATTAGAAACTGATGCATCAGAAACCCTCTCTGATGAACGTCCGGAGGAAACAGAAGCTTCACGATCAACTTCAGCCTCTACGTCAATGACAGGCTGTAAATCTGATTGATCAATTCTTACACCAGTTTGGGCATCACCTGATACCTCAAGCTCAAAGTAACTTGACCCTTCAGCTTTAACAGGACTTCCCTCTGTTATCTCCAGTTTCTTTTCCTCGTCTTCACGTGGACGAATTGATTCCCCTGGCACGACATTCCCAATGGATACATTCTCCACCTGAACTTGTTCAATAACTTCAAGATTAGATTCTGCCGGCCCCGAACTTTCAGCAGCCTGAACTCCTGAGACTTCACTGTCTTGGACATCAACAACAGAAGGCAGTGTCTGTATTCTTGAGTCAGCTTGTTCAACAGGCACAGGTTGTGACAGATTTTGCGAGTCCTCTTTTACAGGTACAGGTTCTGAAGTCTGCTCATCTTTTAAAGGTTCTGAAGTCTGCTCGCCAGCTCTATGGCTCTCAAGTGCCTCATTTTCCCCAACTGAATTATCCTCATAGGTCGATTTCCGTGTCTCTTGCTCTTCAGATGTGGACAATCTCTGTGGAGATTCAACTTTTCCAGAAGACTCAACAGTGTCATCCTCTCGCTCTTGAACCTTCTCGATCATAGACAGTTTCTGTGGAGAACCATTTTTGTCTGTAGCCTCAGCATCTCCATCCACACTTTCAGGACTTTCCTTGATAGTGGAGGATTTCTCTGGAGAGCCAGTTTTCTCTGAAGATTCAGGTGAACTATCCTCGTTTCTAAGCCTTTCCTCATCTGTAGATAACTTCTGAGGGGATTTTGTATCCCCAGAAGATTCAGCATCAGAGTCCTCACCATTGTTCCATGACATCATTGGCCATAGCCCCGCTGGTGCTGCACCACAAAAGAAAGTGAGAATAATTACAATCAAACACCATAAAACATATATTAGCAAGCACGAGCAAACAATTCCACAGTTTTCCGTTTTCCATTTTATTGCCATCTTTAAGCGAACTAACATGCGACACTGATAGTACACTAGCAGACCCAATACACAATCTAAATTGTTGACAAACTGTTCCAATAATGACGGCAGAAACAAGGTTCAGGAGTTTCAAGCCCTGTTGCTTGCACGCTGACTAAGAAACGCAGGGAAATGAAAGTGAAAGAACTCCAGGAGGAACTCAGGCACTGCATCCAGTAACAAGACTTGAGAAGGAACATGTTTTAACATCAATTGAGTTGTTGCACAATTCAAAGTGAAACGGAAATGTAGCTACCACCAGGAAAGCAAGCAAGAGCGACTTCACTTAGCAAACACAAATCTAGTACACATTCTTGTTCAATTCAACAGTGGAATTAATATGTAGGTACCGGCAGAGAAGCAAATCGTGAAACCCCACATAAAAACGAAAAAGAAAAAGGAAGCACCTTCGGCATTGGTAGAAGTGGATTCGGTGGGATTCTCTTCGAAACCAAGAGCATTATCGAAATTCTTCTCAATGTTCTTGACGCTCTCGCTCAGCTTATTCACCGCCCCAGCCAGATCCAAGTTTCCCAGAGAAACTTTCCCGCTAAACCACGCCATCTCCCTCCCCAGAGAACTACAAACATGAATTTCCCCAAAAACAGATATCAGAACAAGCGTAAGGTAAGATCAGGGAAACGCCACATTTTCTCACAAATCAATCAGGATCACGAGAACATCAGAGACCCGTTCTATTTTGTACACGAACTGGATGAAATCAGAAACGAATCTAGGGAAAGGAATTAGCTAGATAGGCTGAGATTGCGAAGAAGAGAAGTGAGGAAGTAATTCGCGGTGGCCGATCAGCAACCATATCGAAGAATCGGGATTCGGGAATGGAGGAAACCTGGAGAAATCAGGAAATGCGGCGGATTGGGAGAGATACTCAGGAGACTCAAATCAAATCCATGGCGCTCTGTCTGCGTCGATCGGCTGTGTTTTTTCGTGTGCTTGCTTTCCGTCTTCTGAGAGATGGAGGGAAAGGGGTGAGAAAAGGCCGAAAGGGGAGGAAAGAAAACTGTTTACTCGGATGAATAGGACGCAAGAAGAGACGGTGCCGCGGTGATTTTGCGCAGTAAGAATTCCCGGGTTTCGTTAGTTTCGTCTGCAACACCGACTACTGCTGCTCGTTGCAAGCTCGTTCGTAAATCACTAAATCAGGATAGGTGAAAGAAGCTCATTATTCCACATTCCGACCGAGGAAGGATAGATTCGTCAGCTCCCTGATATTCACCTTGTTAATCGACTAATAAATAAGGAGTTTGCTAGACAAACCGGTTTGTACACTGTGTGAGTTTAACAAGTTTTACGATTACTATTGGTTTATGTAGGGGTGTAAGTTTGACCTTGTAGATCCACGGATTCGTCCTGACCCATCTTGTCAGGTCCTTGAGAGTTAAGACGGGTTAGTTTATCTACAGGATAGATTAGAGATGGCTCATTTGTTAATCCTTTAAGAATCGGAATGGGTAGGGACAAGTTAGAGACGGGCCACTTTTTGACCCTGTAACCCTTAGCAACAACAAATATCTCATACCACCTTAGACCTTACAGTTTTAATAGTTTATGTACTAAATTGTAAAGATAAAAAATTTTGGTACCAAAATGTTATTTTACCATCAAAATTTATGGACTTATTTGTAAAAAATATTAGGTACTAAAGTGTAAGAAAAAATAATTTTGTGTACTAAAACGTAATTTATAAAAAATAGTGTGTTGATTAGGGTCGACCCACTGACCCGACTCGTCCCAACCCTTGAGGGTCAGACAGGGTCAGGGACAGATCGTGGCAATTTTCAGCCTTAGGTTTATGCCGATTTAACATATACATTTAGACATGTTCGTGCAATACCAGTTAGATTATTCGAGAAATTGAGATTCTCACTTATTTACAACTTTATTAAAGCTAAAATATCATCTAATAAAAGTAAAATACTAGGTAATATCAGTAAAATTAAATTAAATTTAAACAAAACGGGTCGAGAATGCGACGGGGTAGGTGTTAGAAACCCAGTTTCTAACTATTTTGGGGTCTTGGACTTATTTGTATGCTTATTGTTGTTTGAGAAATTTGAATGTTATTTGTGAACGTAATGGGGGTAAAGGGTTATTCGGTAATGTTTGGGTAGTAATAGAGGATTTATCGGATTATATATTCTGTAATCGTGGGATTGGTGGGATCAAGCAATTACAAAACAGAATTCCCTAAACCTACTCTATCTATATATCTCTGAAACTTGGCCAACTCTCTCCCTCTTTCTTCCTTGCTGCCGTCGGGCCCTACTCTAGGAGAGACCTCTTCTTGTTTATTTCCCTAATCCCCAACTCCTCCATCCCCAATTCTCCTGTTCCTAGTCCATAAATTATATATTATCCACAATCGTATCTCCATTCTCAGATCTACGAACCCTAGACGTACACACTTAGATCAAGGTTTCTAACAGTGGTATCAGAGCCTAGTTGGTGTGGGGTTCGGAGAAGATGTTGGCATCAGCTGATAATCGCAGAAGACACCAAAGGAGACTGTGGTCGTGAAGGATTATACCAAGTACGCGGCACTGTTGGGATTCATGAACAAGATTGCGGACAACCAGATGGAGGCACGCGATCAGTTGCAGACCGTTGGATCGCGCATCGAGGATTCCGCACAACAGCAGCAGGCTATGACAGCCGCGACGATCCGAGCGCTGGAGACGGCGGTGCCGACTGACCCGACAGGCGGTGGCGGCTGAGCAACCGAGGCAGCGAGTGCACGGGCTGCAGCGACGGCCCAGGGAGCCGGGAAGGTGGTGGCGACGGGCGGGCTGCCAAGACCCACGACTCAAGAAATTGCGGCGGCCCATGAAAAAGGGAAAATGGCGGGCTATGAGTTGATTGGCTGCGAGTACGGAGTGGAGTCCATGGGCTTAGGGTGGAGCGGACACAAGCCAGGAGGGCAGATGGGCGAGTTGGGCCCGAACCACGATGGGCAGGACGAGGATATGAGTCTGGCGGGCTACGCTGGAAGCTGGGCCAACCTCGGCCCGCATGGAGCTGGGTTGGGTTGGACGGCAACCCCAACGGCCACAGGCTGTTGGGTCTGGTGTCAACCAGTCAGACAGGGTTGGATCGAACCGAACTAAACCAGTTCGAACCATTTGAAGTCGAACCACATCATGGCGGACAACAACAGTGGCGGCCAAGCAGGGACTGGGGGGTACGCGTGTGTTCCGGAATTCACATACCTACCTCTCGTGACTCCCAAGGCGCGGTAGGGAGGGAGGAATCGGGCGGGCATTGGAGATTGGCCAAGGGTCTGGAGCAAAGCCAGGGAACTATGGCGAGCAAGGAGATGAAGATGATGACTGGTCCTTTCCACCGCACCCCTGGGGAGACTTCGAACGTGACGAAAGTGGAGGGCGTGGATTCCCGCACTTTGTCATGTGCGGGTATGGGGGATATAACCCCATGTATGAAGGTAATGATGACCTGGTCTTTCACGTTAAATCGCCTATTTTTGAGTTTCCTAAGTTTAATGACCATGGAGATGTGAGATCATGGTTGTATGCTGCTGAGAGGTGGTTCAGGAATCACTCGACACGGGAAGAACGGAAGGCCACCCTTCGTCCTTTTATATGGAAGGGGATGCAATACAGTGGTGAGAATGGATGGAGAAGTCATATGCCGCACCTAGAACTATGATCACCTGGCCGAGGTTCCAAGAGGAGCTCAAGTACCGGTTCCGAAAAACAGACGGATGGGCACCATAGCAACTGGCCAAGTTGAAACAGACAGGTACCGACGCGGAGTACCAGTCGGAGTTTCTAAAACTGCACAATTAGTGTAAGGAAATGGGGGAAGAGATGCTGGTGGGACTTTGCATGGCAGGACTACGACCGGAGTTGGCAGCAGTAGTAAAAGTATTTGAACCTGACTCTCTGTGAGTTGTCTTTAGGATTGCAAGACATAAAGAAGAGGAGCTTGCCAGCTGGAAAGGAGGCACAGAACGGGTGACGAGGATGGCATGAGGTTTAGTCAGAGGAACGAGTGGAGGCGCGAGGTGCCGGGAGCTGCGAACGTGGTAAGCACCAGTTTTTCACCAGGAGGTCGAATCCCAACTCAGTTACCGCCGAAGGGGTTCGTAAAGCTGACGCCAGCAGAGATGGAGTAGAAGCACCACCAGTGTGCTAAGGGGCATCTGATGCTGCTAATGGGCAACTGGGAGGATGAAGCAGAGGATATGGCGGCTGGGGAAGCTAAGGAAGAGAAGGACGACGAGAATAATGAAGGTCAATCTTGAGGGCAAGATTGTTCTTAAGTGGGTGGATTATTAGAAACCCAGTTTCTAACAATTTTGGGGTCTTGGACTTACTTATCAGTTTATTATTGTTTGAGGATTTTGGATGTTTTTTTGTGGGCATTTTTGCCATACTGGGGGCAATGTAGTCAAAATCATGATTTTCCGTAAAATTGAAACTGAGGTAAAATCGAAATCGTAGATTAAAATCGTAAAATCGTAAAATTTTTAAAGTTAATATTAAAATAAATGCCTAAAACATCATATATAGACTATAGTAATAACAATGCATATCCTAAATAAAAGTCAACCGCATATAATCTAATTACTTCCCAAGATAAGTTTCTCTCCTAAATAAACACAACTAATCCATATATTTATTCTTGTACATAACATAAACACACAAATAAGCAACATGAAATCTCATAGAAATCATTTAAATTAGTTAATAGTTAAGACTTAAGAGCAGGGATCAGGATACCGTACCGGACCGGCCGGTCGGACCGGAAAAACCGGAAACCGGACCTGGCCCGGCACAACATGGCCTATGTAGCATCCAAGAGGCTGCCGGCCGGTTTTTACGGTTGGACCGCAACCGGCCGAAATTTCGGCCGGTTTTATTAAAACCGGCGGTCCCTTTAATTAGCTGAAACGACGCCATTTTGACCAAGTAAAAAAAAAAAAAAAAAGAGAAGCAGCGAAAGTCGAAACCCTACTCTCCTCTCGTCTCCCCCGCGCCGCTCTGCCTTCCCAGTTTCCATCCAAATTCCTTTCCATCCTCTCGTCTCCCCCCGCGCCGCTCTGCCTTTCTCACCACCGGCGACGGCGCCTCGTCCTCCCCAGCAACGGCGCCTCGTCCTCCCCGGCAACATGGGATGGGCAATCGCTCTAACCCAACCCACCCGAAGACGGAGGAACAGAAGCAGCCGGCGTGGAGAACATGGGATGGGCAATCGCTCTTCCTGGCGGCGCCGGCGACATTCCACGCTCACTTTCCCCTGACCGCCGCCTCCCTCGCGAGGCCGCTCTCCGCCACTGCCTCCAACTCGGCGTCTCCGCTCTCCAATCCCACGCCCACCCTCTCGACGTCGTCGAACTCGTGGTACGCCCGCCCAAATCACTTCCCGGATATCCTCTGGCCATCGGAAATTGAATCCAGTAGTAATTGGCTTGAATGGGCGGATTTATATAAAATTAGAATCTTGTATCATCGGATGTTAGAGGTTGCTAGTGGCTCCATGGCTGTTACTTTGCAGGTTCGCGAATTAGAGAACCACCCGCAGTTCAATGCTGGAAAGGGATCGGTGTTACCTAAACTTATTTACTTTTTTACAGTTTTTTAGGCGGTATAATCCGGTTTTATTCCGGTATTTTCCCGGTATGGTACCCTAATTTTGTCGGTACGGTTTTTTAACAAAAAAATAATTTTTTTATTCCAAAAACGGTATTTGCCGGTAGGAAACGGTTGAACCATGGTTGTACCACGATTTACCATGCCAAAAACGATTCCGGTTTGATGTCCGGTACGGTTTCGTAATCCATGCTTAAGAGTAGAAAATCACATAAGATCACAAGGATCAACATTAACATCCCTCACACATCGTCATCCCCACCCTCACTCTCAACCTTGTAGAGTCCTTTTCTATTTGCTTGGTAAATGATATCATTATTTTTTAGGATCACTTGAAATACTTCACCATTATTCATATTTCCTTGATTATCATCATCTCGCAAAGATAACTCATTGATTTATGCATTCTTGTCTTAATCGATAAAAGGTCGGGGATAGTGGTGCTGAAGGATTGGGAGGTAAACAAAAACTTGCAATGGAATGGAGATTGGGATAATTGTGAGGGTGGTGGGAAAAAACTACGAGCTAATTTGGAGTTAGGATTATATTGCTCATTATGTTGGGTTGGGGGAAGTAAACTTGACCCGATTCATGGGGAAACCCCCATCGCAACCGGCCTAATTTTACTCCAATTGACATGAACGTTGAAATCATACAAAATCGTGAAAATCGTAGATTTTTTAGAGTTTTAAAATGGGATTTTATAGGATTTTAAGATTTTGTAGTAAGATCAGGATCGAACCCATAGGTAAGATAGTAAAATCGTAAGATTTTAAGATTAAAATCGGAATTTTGACTACATTGATTAAGGGTAAAGGGTTTTTCGGTAATGTCTGGGTAGTTATAGAGAATTTATTGGGGTATATATTATGTAATCATGGGATTGATGGGATTAAGAAATTAGTCAATTACAGAACAGAATTCCCTAAACCTACTCTGTCTCTATCTCTGATACTCGGCCAACTGTCTCCCTCTTCCTTCCTTGCAGTTGTCGGCCCCTACCCTAGGGGAGGCCTCTTCTTGTTTCTTTACCTAATCCACAATTTTCTTGTTCTCAATCCCTAAATTCTTTATTATCTGCATTTGTATCTCAATTCCCAGATCTACGAACCCTAGATCTACATGCCTAGATCAAGGTTTCTAACAGTAGGACACATTAGGTTGAGAAGAGTGCCCATGTCCGCCTTCGCCTACGTGGCGAGTATTATCCGCCAAAAAACAAGTAAAAAAGGTCAGGAAAATAGATCATACCGAAATTTCCATCGCTAGTCCTATCCGATATACCTCTCCATGATGAAATCGAGGAATTTTCTTCTTGGACATCAAAATGCACTGTTTACGGTCGAGTACAAGATCGCAGTTAACAAATGCATAATACTATATTATCTTGTCAACCTTTTATGTTATGGTGATTTGGAAGTCACCATAGACTGATAGACATACTACTTTTCTTTTAATTCCTTGGTTAATTTGCCTTTCCACATATTGCCCATATGTTGTTGGCAAGTTCTAACCTAACAAACTAACTGCATTTTTCATGACTCATATTAAGCGTAAATTTATTGTGTTTTTAATTCAAGTTTTAACCTATAAGGCCGTGGTCTAGTGGTCGTACTGCAAATTTGAGTTTGAAGGTCACACGCTCGTTTTATGATTAGAGTTACTCAAAACAAAATCTTTGCTACAACTTATTTTGTGTAGATAGAAGTGACATGTCGTACCCATAAGTTTTTATATGAATCCATTAGTTTATATGTTTCTAAATTACAACTGATTTTACCAGTTACAATTGAAGGTGTAGAAAATGCATTTTCATCATTGGGCGGGGGACGAAACTTGGATTTGGCATTCCAAAATGGGTTTTATTTTGTGACTGTGAAAAGACAATAAATTAAACAAAATAATAAAAATTATATTTTTGATAGTATCAAAACATCAAATTTCAGCCATATAATAGTAAATTTTAGAAATAATGGACTTAAGAAAACATATTGAATTATTGATATTACAAAATTAAGAAATCGTAAGATGAAAACTGAAAGAGCAATTATTGAGACATATTAAAAATAAGAAAAGAATTACAATATAAACTGCATCCAAGGGTCCTCAATATAGCTCTGTCACATGTGGAAGTTGACATGACGCCAACAAGGTGACAACATGGCGTCTACACATGTGAGTTGTGACGTGTATGGAAGACTAGAAGCATAGAGATGTCTGTATGATTCTTCCAACCTTTATGAGCATTATGGTGCACTTATAAGTTATAAGCCACATTATGGGTGATATTAAGAGAGTGCATTATGGGGGGACTTAATGGGTGTAGTAATGGAGATGGACCATTATGAGAGACATTGATGCCTTGTATGTGGAGAGGCCTATATAAGGAGTCATCTCCCTCATTTGTAACTCATTCCATATTTTTTAGAGCAATACACTAAGAGAGTTCTCCCATCTTCCTTTGTCTTTCTTTGCTTGCAAGTGATCAGTTGAGAAAAGGCTGCCTAGCATCTCTAACGAATTTGAGAGTTAGGACAGCACGACCGAGAGTAAGGCCGTGGCAGTTCTCACCCACTGGGCTCATTGCCTTCATATTTCATGTTTGCACACTAAACGATTTCATACAAATACTTTAGCTTATTGAAATTTTCAAATATTGATATATTTTATACGTAATTTTCTAAATTTTCGGAGGCCTAACTCTGCCCCCTGCTCTCATGTGCCTTCTTCCCAAACTCTATACCTTGGCCATGTAACCAAATATATCTGATTAAATATTTGCCTAGACAGCTAAATCAGTCATGAATTCCTCTATTATAAACTAGAGTATTTATCATATCTTCAATTTACATTACACAAATATTTCGTAAGGTAAGTTCATAACTTAATTCTTTTATCAACTACAATATTCACCATATAATTAATTTAAATAATGCAAAGACTCCATAAGGGAAGCTAACTTCTACGTAATAGTTTAATTAAATGTGAATTATGCAATACTACATCAAGTTACATTACACAAAGACTCCATAAGGTACGCTAGCTTGTACTCAATATTTGAATAAAATGCAATACTTTCGATAAATTGACTTATTATTTAACCATACATTATGGAATATTATGTAAATTAAAAAATACATTACATCAAAGTTACGGAGAAATAGTCTTTTCTTATGTATTATTATATCAATTAGAAAAATATATTGCATAAATCTTGCATAATTAAAGGTTCTATAAAATGTAATTATTTTTCACATAACCGTTTAATTAAAGTGATACTTTTCATAACTTAATTCTTTTATTATTGACTAAAATTTCTTTATTATTAACTAAAATATTCTCTATTTCATGCATTACACAAAGGTTTCATAAGGTAAGCTAACTTTCCCATAATAGTTGATTTTATTGTTACAAAGCAGAGTGTGTAAACAAAGTAGAGTGTGTGACTGATACCCTTCTAGAGAAGCAACTCACAGAAGCAGAGGGTTCTTTAGAAGCCTCAGCTCAAAGTTATAATTCATGCGCAATCAAGGGAATATATTACAGTCTTGACAACATTGTCATGCCAACCAATACTGATGTACACTTTTTTTAGTTTTTCTTTTTTGAACAAATACTGATATATACTGTATTCTTTCATTACATTACACTTCATTCATTTGACAGCAGGATCACTGCCCTAATATCTCTGACACCGACTTGTTAATGATCTCCACTAGCTCCTCTCTGAGATTGAACAAACAATTGAGAGTCAGTTTGCTGTTAATCCATTACAACTACAAAATTAGAGCAGAGCAATTTGAAATCTGATACAAAGGCTTGCTTACCGGTTGGGTTTGAATAGAAGGTATCGATACACGAACCACTGCAATGAATCAACACCATTCCAATGAGTACTAATGATCATAACAGATGTTTTAAGTATGAAGCGACTGATAGATCATAATTCATTTAGATGCACCCCATATAGAAGCTTTAAGGAACGAAGGGAAGACAATAGAGGTATGAACCAATGTGTGTATATTTTAGAAAGGGGACTTGAGATACTTACAGTTGAATAAAGTATGCCAACAACTTCCAACAGACTTGGGAATACTGGCAACTTGTCAATAGCCTATTCATAAAAATCCCAAAAGAAAGGCAGTTAGGATGTTATCTCTGCTTATGAACGTTAGAGGGGAAATGTAGGCCAATATAGAAGAAATTTGGACTTCAAACAGGCATCAGATTGCCACTTCATGACCAAAGCTTCTAAGTCCTTAATGTGGTCATGCACCAATAACACAAGGCTAACAAAAACTTTAAGAACAGAGAAGGGGGTAATTACTGCTACGAGACTAGCTGATGCCCAAAGAGCTACTATAGCTGCAAAACCAAGACCAATGACAGCCACCCGATCTTCAGATTTATCCCACTGTAGAAGATGAACCAAAACATGTTAAGAAAACAATTCTATTCAGCACAAATCAAGAGTAACACAAGTAACCCAGTGACGAGAGTTCGTTTTGGATTTTGCACAAGATGAAGTGCCAACGGTCTTGGAACCACAAACATCCTTCATTGTCCAAAGAAAGATGGAAATTAATCAGATAGACATGGAGAGTGAATAAGAGGACCCACAACACTCTGTACACTCTTAGCAATATTGAGGGATGAATCAGAACTTTCGCCAGTAGCCTTTGAAATAACAGCAGCGCGGTTATGCTTCCCTGAGAAGGTAAGATCATGAGCAATCAATCAAGAATTCTCAATACCACCACAATGATTTAAATCAAGCACATGAAACATGGTGACTGGACTTGACTTATTAGTGCTCGAATTACGTCTCCAAGCTAAGTCATCATCAAATAGCACTTTGTACAACTGTTCGAAAAAAATTCATATCACAGGCTACAAAGATAATCAGTTTCCATATGGAAACACAGCTGGGGTGAAAATATCTCTCTTTTCTCTACTAAACTTGTGCCAGTAACAGTTCCTAACTAAAGGACAGCTACTTCAAGCAGAAAACCATCTAGAAAGGCACACCATTTTCAAAAAATGGACACTACACATCCAACTTGAATTAGTTGGCACCCGACAGAGCTATATTGAGGACATATGGGAAGTGTTATACATGGTAATGCCATCTACCTAGCCATGAAAGTACATGCAGTCAGTTACCTGAAAATCTAAAACCAGACTTAATATGCCCAGACACATTGGTTCACTCATAAAGGGATATACATGTCAATACTTTCATCCAACAAAGTGGAACACGATTTTGAAGCCTGATAGTGACTACTTTCATCTACAGAATGAATCCCAATAGGCAAATTTTGCAACCCAGAAGCTCCTGTGATGCAAGTTATCAATTCTAATTCCAATCAAGAAGTAAGAAAAAGAAAAAAAAAAAAATGAAAGAAAGGAAGATTCAAAGTAATCAATTGACAAGAAAGAAAGAAGTTGTTTAATCCAAATCGATTGTCAATTCCCCCAACTTGCATTTGTTCATAATTAACTTGCTAACTCAAAATGTAAGCTACGCATCATCAAAACCCATTTATCACTCACTAATTCTCTTGATAGGAATAGGAAATAACACAATTGGTAGTGCATAAACTAGGAACCACGACGACTCACCGTTCATTGGGGAAGCTGGGAGAGGTTGGGCAGCTACGAAAATGCTCTGCCTTCCGCGGAGCAGCAATGATGGCAGAGGAGGCAAGCTTGCAATAACGGAAGCCATACCCAGCCGAAATGAATAACTGCACAGAAGTAAAAAGAGAACATGAACCAGAAGATGGGGGTTTTTGACTTTTGAGAAGGTGGGCAATCGGATTGAGATGACAGCCTGAGGAAAGAAACTACTGGGGTTTCTGGCCTCCTTTTTTCTGACTCACCTCTTCAAATTGCGAAGCAGCAGCAAATGGGGAAGAAAGCTTCGCACCTTTGTTAGCTCTGCACACCACAGAAAGAAATGTTTCCGACTTCCGACTTGGCGGTTCGCAGTGTAAATGTGTAATGGTGGATATTATAGTGGGTTACTGGCTTAGCTTGGGCACGGACAAAACTTGAAGAAATGACAGGGGGACCGGTTATTGTAACAACACCCATTGTGTTGTTATTGTAACAACACTAGTCCCCAACCAATAGGAAGCTAGGATTGTGATGACTTTTTAGATTGTGATGACTTTTTATTAAATGAGTTGACCTAGTGTAAAAACAAAGCAGGGGTATAATTGTCATTATGAAAAATCTATTTAAATAAAAAAATAAAAAAAATAAAAAATAAAAAAATATTTTTTTTATTTTCTGTCCAAAAATTTGGTCGTCGGAATTCTGCCACCGGTCGCCGGAAAATGGTCGGCGGTCACCGGAATATGCTTTTGTCGCCGGAATATGCTATTTTGTGGCCGGAATATGCTTACCGGAGTCGGAATATGCTTACCGGCGTCGAAATATGCTTACCGGCGTCGGAATCTAGTCACCGGGGCCGGAATATGCCTATCGGCGTCGGAATCTGCTCACTGACGGTCACCGGAGTTCGGTCAACGGTCTTCGTTGACCGGTCAACGGTCAACGACCACCGGATGTTATGGTCTGCATTGTGAGATTTATGGTTTGGTTTCTCATATTTTTTTATGCCTTTTATGGTTTGTTTTATTGTGTTTGTGGTTTGCATTGAGAAGTTTCTGGTTTGTTTTCAAAAACTTTGTGGTTTGCATTGTGAGGTTTCTGGTTTGTTTTAATATATTTGTGGTTTGCATTAGGACGTTTATGGTTTGCTTTTTTGTGGTTTGATTTACTATGCTTGTGGTTTGCATTAGGAGGTTTTTGGTGTGCTTTCGCAAATGTTGTGGTTTGCTTTGTGGGGTTTGTGGTTTGTTTTAGGAGATTTGTGGTATGCATTAGGAGGTTTCTGGTTTGCATTAAGAAGTTTCTGGTGTGCTTTCGAAACTTTTGTGGTTTGGTTTGCGAGGTTTCTGGTTTGTTTTGATATATTTGTGGTGTACATTAGGACGTTTTTGGTTTGTTTTATCGTGTTTGTGGTTTGTATTAGGGGGTTTCTCGTGTGCTTTAGAAATATTTCTGGTTTGTTTTACCGTGTTTCTGGTATGTTTTAGACAATTTATAGTATGCATTAGGTGGTTTCTAGTATGCTTTCGAGATAATTGTGGTATGTTTTGTGAGGTTTGTTATTCTATCCGACGTTCGTACTAGATGAATGGAATTAGTAACAATAATTATTGATGTGTATACTTACCCTATATACAAAGCCTAATTGAAGCTCTACAAGAACTCTCCACAGAAATTAAGAGCGGAACCGATGCATAGAAATTAGAAAACCATCCATGATCCTCCGAAAACCCTCTTAATTCAAGCTCAAGCTTAAGAATCCCAGGTTAGTTGAACTAAGCAGATGTATTATGACTGAATAAATGAACATTATGAGCAGAAACACGCACAGAAAATCAGGTCTCGCCCAAATCCACCTAAAACCTCTCAAATTCAATCATCTCAAAACGAAAACTCCACAACCACAGGGTATTACAACGAATTCCCGATTAGGTTTTGCACAAATAGAAATCCCCAAACGAGTAGGGGGTGGTGATCTGAATAGAAAAACAACCGCTAGCGGTGACCCAAAAAGGAGACCGTCCGGCTTACCTTCCTGTCGAAGAAGACGAGGAGATGATCGGGGACGCCTTTGAATTTCTGGTAGACAGGACCGACAACGGACGCGACGGCGCCTTCGACGTTGCCGACGGTGGATCTCAGCGGCCCCGAGTTCTGCTTCGCGTAGCCGTACAGACTGGAGACGGTAACCAGCGCCTTGATCGCTGCCAGCCTTGAGGACGGAGAGGAGCGATCGGCGGTTATTCGGGACAGAATTCAGATTCCAATTTCGGCTCTATTTCCGGCCGTCGGGGGACCAGCAGGTCGCTGTCGCCGATGAGAATCTCCGAAGTGATGTTGGAGCAGGAGCAGGTCCAGGTCGACTGCAATTCCAAATTCAACCCTGTCGCCGGCGGCGAGAAGCAGTCATACGCGGCGGCGTTCCTGTCGGCGAGAAGCAGTCATACGCGGCCGCCGTGTTGCTGGAGAGACAGGGAGATAAAACACGTTTAGGTATTTAGATTTGTTTATTTATTTATTTATTCATAATCTGTTATTTATTGTCATTTTACTGTTATGCCCTTGTTGTTAGTATAACAACACTTGAAGTGTTGTTATACTATCCGGACCCAATGACAGGGACAGGGAGGAAGTCGTGATCGGGTGCGGTAAGGTCCACTATGTGGCGGTTGGTATATCCTTACAGATAATCTGAATTCTGAAATGGACGTTTGGGCCTTCAAAAGTCGGGCCCAAAGCCCAATTATCTCGTCATCGGCTTGTAAGATCGGCCCCCAAATCCGTTGGCGGCAGAATCTTCTTCTTCAACTCTGAGAATCGAGCATCGGAAGCATAGCAGTAGGCTTTCCTTCTTCCAAAATGACCTCGCCGGCATTATTCCTCCGCCTCCTCCGCCACCCCTCTCTCCGTCCCGTCACCGCCTATTCTCTCGCAACAACTCCCACTTCGCAATTTCCTTCCCGCGCTCCGGAGCCTCCACCACAAAGCTCACCGGAACCCGATTCAAAGGCCGTGTTCGAGAAGCTCAGGCTGAAGGCCAACGACTGGAAAGCAGCTTTCGATTACTTCCACTCAGTCGAGATTCAGCACACGACGGAGAATTTCAATTGCATGATCGATATTCTCGGTAAGTTTTTCGAATTCGAGCTTTGTTGGAAGTTAATCGAGAGCATGCCGGATTGTGGTGCGATGCCTGATCACGCCACTTTTCGGGCACTGTTTAAGCGCTATGTATCTGCACATCTAGTCGAAGAAGCTATCGCTGCGTACGAGAGGTCGAACGAGTTCAATCTGAGAGACGAGACTTGTTATAGCTATCTCGTCGACGCAATGTGCGAGTACAAACACGTTGTGGAGGCTGAGGAATTCGTTTTTCAGCGGAAACCTAATGACGAAATCGCAGTAGGGATGATGAATTCGACCAAGGTTCATAATCTAATGCTGCGGGGCTGGTTTAAGATGAAGTGGTGGGGGAAATGTAGAGACTTCTGGGAGGAGATGGACAAGAAAGGGGTGCAAAAGGATTTGCGTTCTTATTCCATATACATGGATATAATGTGCAAGAGCGGGAAGGCCTATAAAGCTGTGAAGTTGTACAAAGAGATGAAGGCGAAGGGGATAAGGTTAGATGTTGTGGCGTATAACACGGTGATTCTAGCCATTGGCCAGTCGATGGGTGTGGATTTCGCAACAAGGGTTTATCGTGAGATGAGGGAGATGGGTTGTAAACCGAATGTTGTGACTTGTAACACTGTGATAAAACTTTTGTGTGAGAACTCGAGGATGGAGGAGGCAAATGAGATGCTTGAGAACATGAGCAAGGAAGGCATACAGCCGGATGTGATCACTTATCATTCTTTCTACCGGTGTCTTGGAGATCCGAAGAAAATCCTTCGGCTTTTCGATAGCATGATTGAGGATGGAGTCCAGCCAACAATGAGTACCTTTGTGATGCTTATAAGGAAGTTCGGAAGGTGGGGGTTTCTGAGGCCAGCCTCTATTGTTTGGTCGAAAATGATTGAACTTGGATACAGTCCGGATGAGTCTGCTTACAATGCTTGGATAGATGTTTTGATTGATAAAGGTTTGTTGGATGAAGCTAGGAAATATGATGCAGAGATGTTTGAAAAGGGGCTCTCTGCTAAGCCAAGGAAAGAGTTTGGAACAGGGCCCGTGGAAGGTTGATCTCTGCATACACATATCAAAATGTGCTAAACTGTGCCGTAGGAATGGCAAGGGGTTGCTTCTCGCAGAGAACATTTAATAGCTCAAAACCTCAAGCCATGAGGGTTTCCCAGTTTGCTCGTTGTTTCCAAGCTAGTATGAGAAGGTAGGTTTCTGCCAAGGTATGCATCCCATGAGTCAAATATTGTTCTTTGTTGATTACTTGCAATTACAAACCGATTCAAGTGCCGTTTCCTCTCTGATTTTCAGATGATTGGAGATGCTAAATCAGGAGTGATGTAGAGTTTACCTTTGCGGATGAATGAAACTTGGCATGCTAATTCTGCAAACTGCACGTGAGAACAAGGACAATCGTCACCTGTCGGGTTCAGAGAAGAGAGTTTTCTTTCTATGGAAGTTCCTGGGGATAATTCTTTTTATCTCCACCCCTATCTTGGTATTCTTAGTTGTATTAATACATTCAAAGATGATCTTTGATAAGGAGAATTGCACCCTCCGTAGCACTTTTTTTGTGGGCACACCCACTTTCTACAAGGTTCGACTTTAGTTCTTTGGTTAGTATCTACTCACAATCCGTAAACCTTGGCGGTCTAACCATTTGTTAACAAGTTTTTTTCCTCATCAAATGCCGACAGAAGATCGAGAATCAGCTATGCTTCATAAGGCACTCTACCTTTGGATTTGGTCTCTAGTTTTGGCTGTGTAAGAAGAGTTTATTGATGTGTATTAAGCATACAAACTGTGTACATGAAAGGTAAGGGATTTATACAAAGTCATATGGCTGTCGGTTGAGAAAGGAAATAAAGAAAACATTATCTTCTGTAGATGTTATCTTCTGTGATAGGCTTGAATGGGAATGGGAGCTCCTGTGGTAGTATTAATATTGTAGGTGGTTGTCTGGTATCCCAGCTGGGTAGTAGTTGGGGTTTTAATTTTCTTCTACACTCCCCCTTATGCTGGCGTATGAAGGTCACAAATACCCAGCTTGCTCAAAAGATGATGAAGTTGGTCAGCACCGAGAGCTTTAGTGAAAAGATCAGCTACTTGATCCTTAGTGTTGATCTTGGTAGGTTGAATCTCCTGTGATTGAACACGTTCTCGGACAAAATGACAATCCATTTCTACGTGTTTGGTGCGTTCGTGGAAGACGGGGTTTGATGCGATATGGAGAGCGGCTTCATTGTCACAGTATAGTATTGTTGGGGTAGTTTGAGCTACGCCAAGATCAACAAGTAAGCCACGGGGCCATATAAGTTCACTAACCGTCGTGGCCATTGCTCGATATTCAGCTTCAGCGGATGATCTAACGACAACATTCTGCTTTTTGGTACGCCAGGAGATAGGAGAATCTCCTAATTGTATAAAGTATCCTGTGGTGGAACGTCGAGTCAATGCACACCCGCCCCAATATGCATCACAAAAGGCTTGTAAGGTTGGCGAGCCGGTGCTAGGAAAGAAAATCCCCTGGCCGGGAGAATTCTTCAAGTAACGGAGGATGCGGTAAGCAGCATCAAAGTGTTCTTGTTTGGGTGCTTCCATGAATTGACAGAGGAAATTTACTGCATATTGGATGTCAGGGCGAGTGATAGTGAGGTAAAGGAGGCGGCCCAGAAGTCGCCGATATTGGCCAACGTCAGTTGAGGAAGGTGTGTTGGCAAGTGCAAGTTTGTGATGTTGCTCCATGGGAAAGGAACTGGGCCGACTGTTGGTGAGTCTGCTATCGGCGAGGATGTCCAATGTATATTTTCGTTGACTTAGAACGATGCCCGTGGAGGAACGAGCAACTTCAATGCCTAAGAAAAACTTCAAGGGGCCAAGATCTTTGATGCTGAACGTGGCATTGAGGTGGCTTTTGACAGTGTTGATGAAGTTGTCATCATTGCCGGAGAGAATGACATCATCAACATAGATGAGAGCAACGACGAAGGACTCCTTCGATTGCATCACAAAGAGTGAGTAGTCAGCTCGTGATTGACGAAAGCCAAGGTTGAGGAGTGTAGCTGTGAACTTGGCATGCCAGTTGCGTGATGCTTGTTTGAGACCATAAAGAGACTTTCGAAGCCTACAAACACGTGTGTCTCCAGCCTTGGCAAAGCCTTCAGGAATCTTCATATAAACTTCTTCATGCAAGTCTCCATGGAGAAATGCATTATTGACGTCGAGCTGATGAAGAGACCATCCTCGTAATGCAGCAACTGCAATCAGACATCGAACAGTTACTAGTTTGGCAACTGGAGCAAATGTTTCGTGAAAGTCGATCCAAGGTATCTGAGTAAATCCTCGAGCAACAAGACGAGCTTTGTAACCTTCGATTTCACCCGTGAGTTTGTACTTGATCTTGTAAACCCATTTAGAGTCGATCGCCCTTTTGCCAGGGGGTAATGGCACGAGTTCCCATGTGTGGTTGGCTTCAAGGGCATTAATTTCTGCTCGCATCGCGATTATCCACCGAAGATCACGAACAGCTTGTTTATAAGACCTAGGTTCATGATGCGCAGAAATGGCTACCAAAAAAGCCATATGTGGTGAGGAAAATCTTTTATATGACACAAATTGAGCGATGGGATATACCTGAGAGGATTTTGATGGAGAGGTAAATGGCTGGATGGTTAGCGAAGGTGGGAGAGATGTGTCATAGTCGCGTAGAGATGTTGGTGCCGTACGTGTCCTTGTGCTGCGCCGGAGTATTGCTTCATTTGGAGGCGGGGAAGCCTCGTGGGAGTCACTAATGTGGGTTGATGATGGTCGAAGATCGAAATAGGGATCTTCCTCTTTAGTTGTATCCCAAGGTTGATAGGGAGGAGCTGGTCGTGAAAGGGAGGTAACCTCTTGTGTATCTTTGTAAGGGAATTGAGATTCCACAAACGTGACATCACGTGAAACAATAATCTTCCTGCTGTCTAGATCGTACACTCGATATCCCTTTTGATTGTTAGGATATCCAACAAAGACGCCTCGTCTCCCCCTTTCGCCAAACTTTTCGATGCCTTTACGATTTTCATGTGTGTATGCTAGGCATCCAAAGACACGGAGATGACCATAGGAAGGTATTTTATTGAGTAATACCTCGTATGGCGTCTTGTTGTCAATTGGTCGTGAGGGTAGTCGATTGATTAGATACGCTGCTGTAAGGATGCATTCGCCCCAAAATTGGATGGGAAGATTGGACTGAAACCGGAGTGCTCGAGCTACTTCAAGAATGTGGCGATGCTTTCGTTCAACAACGCCATTTTGTTGAGGTGTGTTGGTGCAGGAGGTTTCTAAGAGAATGCCTTCATGCGCGTAATAAACTCGCATTTGATTGGATTGGAATTCAAGACCGTTATCAGTGCGGATGCGCTTGATAGTTCTCCCAAATTGAGTTTTGATCATGTTGCAGAAAGCGATCAAGAGTTGGCTGACATCAGATTTGTGCTTCATGAGGTAGACCCACAAACCACGACTATAGTCATCGACAATGGTTAAGAAATAGCGTGCTCCAGAAAATGATGGAGTTCTGTAATCTCCCCAAATATCGCAGTGGATGAGATCAAATACATCAGTTGTTTTGATGCCACTAGAAGGAAAGGGTACTCGAGTTTGCTTGGCCTTAACACAAGCATCATAATGGCCAAGCTTATTTAGCGAATTAAACTTCATAATGTTCTGCAAATCATGCATCTTGCCTGCGGATGCGTGTCCCAACCGTTGATGCCATGTATCCACAGGTATTGATCCTTGTGTCATCATTGCATGTCGTCCTCGTGACACATCTCCCCAGACATACAAACCATCCTGCAGTCTACCCACTCCAATCAGCCTCCTCGTTGGTAATTCCTGTATCACACAAAAATTCGCCAAAAAGATCACCGCACAGTTGTAATCTTTAGTCAGTCGACTAATGGAAATAAGATTGCATTTGAAGTCGGGAATATTTAGCACTCCCTCCAGGCTTAAGCCATTTTTAAAGGTCACCGTCCCGACTCCTTTGACGGGTATTTGCGCTCCATTAGGAATTTTGACGCAACCTGTAGCTGAAATTTCTTGTTTGGGCTCCAATAACTCAGATTGACAAGTAATATGATCTGTGGACCCTGAATCTAGGGCCCATTCCTCTTTTAAATTACCTGTCATGTTTGTATGGGCCATGGAATCTGTGGGGCATGGTGGGCTGGTGCCTAAAAGATGATACAAGCGGCCCATTTGCTCTTCATTCAAAGCACTCTTCTCGGCGGTGCCCTTGTCTCTGGCAAACCGGGCACCTCGGCTTCTCCCGTCCCCGCGCTTCATCTCGGATTTCTCGTCCCGATAAAGCCGCCACCGTTGCCGCGTGGAAAGCGGCTGCCTCTGCCGTGTTCTTACCGCCGAGGGATATGGCCCGCTGCTGCTCATCTTCCAAGACCAGGCGGAAAGCATCAACGAGGGCAGGGGTCGGCTGGAGACTGAGAATGTGGGTTTTGACAAGAGAGAACTCATCATTCAATCCCATCAAAAAATCGTACAGTTGATCTCTGTCTCTGCTCTCTCTCGCATGCTTAGGATAATCGCAGCTGCAATTACAACGTGGTAGAGGAGAAATTGCTTGGAGTTCATCCCACAAGCCCCTTAGTTTTGTGTAGTATGCGGAGATGCCGAGAGATCCCTGCTGAAGATTGCTTATTGCCCTTCGTATCTCATATGCTCTTGGAGCGCTTCCTCGACCGAATCTTTGTTTCAGATCGCTCCAAATTTCTTGAGCTGTAGCTGCATATCGTACGCTATTTCGTACGTCCTTTGTCATGGCTGCTTTCAACCATCCTCGCACCATCGCATCATTTCTTAGCCACCGGGACGAGTCCGGAGACTCATCTGCTGGTTTCTTCAAGGTTCCATCAACAAAGCACATTTTGTTTTTGGAAAATAGGACCTCGGACATGTCTGCTGCCCATTCTCCGTAGTTGGTGTCGTGAAGAGCTTCCAATACGCGGACTTGCCCTAGGTGATCGGACTGATGCAAGTGGTACGGTGACATTACGTCTATG